GCTGCTTAGTGAAACAAATAAGTAACTTCTATATACGACTAAATATAATAGAAGAAGAAAAAAATTGATCTAATTGGTTGGGATAAAATTCTGAATTCAACTTTTTATTTTTTTGCCATGATGTATTAATAATAGTATTTTTTGTAAATAAAAACTAAGGAATTCAGCCCTAACTACTAATAGAAAATCAGACTTCTTCCTAATTAAAAAAAGAAATACCATTTTTATATATTGAGAATTTTTTCAAACACTTGTATTTATTAACTTTTTTCCTCACTTATATATTTATGATTAGTTCTTTTACTTTTTTGTTTGCTTTTTAAAATATTTTTTGATGTTCCTATGTACTTGGTTTGTACATATGTTTGCATAAAAATTGGAGCGCACACAAATATTTGATAATTATTTGTTCACTTTGTTTAATAAGTTTTCAATAACATGTAAAATTTTTTTTTTGTATGAAAATAAACGATTGACATTAAAAATTTGTGTTTCATGCACTTAGTTTTATGCAATTCAGTCCAGCTGATTTGCTGTTTTTGCAAAAGAAAATATTTGTATTTATTTTGGCTTTAAACGCAGAACATGCGAAAGTAACTGCAGTTTTGTAGAAATTTTAGGTATTTTATACACGCACTTCTCACGTGCATTTTCAAATAAATTTTAATATACTGTAATTTATTTTATTTCAATTTATATATTCCTTTGGTTTTATTTTAATTATTTTATTTTATTTTGTTTTATTTTATTTTTTTAATTTTTTTATTTTACTTTTATTTCTTTTTATATATTTTAATTTAATTTAATTTTATTTTATTTTAAAATTCTTTATTTTATTTTATTCCATTCCATTTTATTTTATTTTATTTTATTTTATTTTATTTTATTTTGATTAATATTATTTTATTTTTATTTTTATTTCTTATAATATAATTTAATTTTATTTTATTTTATTTTTTTTTAATATGAGTTTTTTTTATTTTATTTAATTTTTTTAATATTTTAAAAATTAATTCTATTATTTTTTTATTTATTTTATTTCATTTTATTTTATTTTATTTTACTTTCCTTTCTTTTATTTTATTGCTCTTTATTTAACTTTTAGATTTGAATTTATTTTTTATATTAAATTCCCTTTTTTTATTTACTATTTACAAATTATTTCAATTAATAGTGCTTTTGCTATATTATGTTATTTCACATTTTTATATATGAATTTAATTTTTTAATTTAATTTTGTTTATTTGATTTAATTACGTATCATTTCATTTATTTTTTTTATTCCTTTATTTTATGTTTTATTTTAAGATTTTTAGTTTAAGATTTTTTATATTTTATTTTTTGTTTATTTTAATTTAGTTTATTTTATTTTATATTTTATTTAATGTAGTATAACTGTATTTTTATTATATCTTATTAAGATTTCTTTTATGCTTTTATTTTATTTTATTTCATATCATTTAAATATTATTTTATTTTATTTAATTTAAAGTTCTTTTTTTACTTAATTTATTTTATTTTGTTTTAATTTATTTATTTTATTTTTTTTAAATTCATTTTTATTTTATTTCATTTTAGATTAAATTATTTTAGGTTATTTTACTTTATTTTATTTTAATATGGTGTTTTTTATTCTTATTTATCGAAATTTATTTTATTTTTATGGTTTTCATTTATTTTAATTTTTTTATTACATTTTAATTTATTATGTTTTATTTTTTTATTTTATTATATTTTTTTTTTATATTTTTTATTTTATTTATATTACTTTTTTATTTTTTTATTTATAACTTTTTCCCCATAACACTTAATTTAATTAACATTTTTATCCAACAAATTTGTTTCTAATATTACCTTATTTGATCTTAATATTTAACATTTACATATAGATAAATATTAATTTAGTATTTGATTTGAGCAGGTATTGCAAGTCTTTCAGGTTTAGAAACATTTAATAAAATTCAAGCCTGCAGAAATATTACGACAAATATACTTATCTACATCTTTTACATATTTTTATAAGTTTTAAAACTATTTTTCTTTTATTTTTGCTTATTACTTTACTGTTGTGTATTTATTTTAGTTTAATATCCTTTTTTGGAAGTAAAAAGCTTACAGCGATAGTTTCACATTTGTGAGCTAAATTAGAGATATGGTACATGTATTTCGATAGCAAAACCTTACACAGAAGTACTTGTGGGTTGTTCTATATATCTGTATAAGCTTTTTGAGAGGGTCTTTATTAATGATTTTTCTTACATCTTAAACATTTTCCTTAACTCATACATATGTATGTGTGCGAGTTTTGCAAACAGTTTTTTCTGCCTTGTTTTGATTCCCATATCAATAACATCAACTTACAATAAGTACTAAGAAAGTTGTAGAACAATCATGAGCCTTTTATTTAACAAAAAAAAAAAAAAACGTTTTTTTTTCAATAAAAAAATGTTTTGTAAATCATGTTTTTGTGTATATATAATAGTATAGAATTTAAAAGTCTGACTCTTTTTTATTTATATTCACTATTTTTAGCAGGTCTCGCATTTACCATATTCACTGATAATTATTATGAGTTAATTTATTAGGTGTAGTACAAATAAATCCATTATTTTTCCAATAGATGATTAATACATTCGGGTTACCTTAGATGGTTCTAGAAAGATTACAATTTTACTAAAAAAGCTTTTCTGACGTAAAAGATGCTTCGCGGAGTGGAAAGACAATTGTCGGAAATATCAGTAAAATTAATGTCAGATCTGTCATGTAAGCACAGTTTCGATTGCCCAAGAGCTAAAGATTGCACAAAAAATCATTTCAAACCACTTGCATAAGGCTGGATAAGAAGAGAAAAAACTAAACCATTCATTTTTATGCAAAAATAATGGATTTCATTTTACTAACTCTTAAATAATTGATATTTAATTCTTTCATATGTTTCTTTACGGTTTTGATAATCTTGAGCTTGTGATTCACTGTAAAGCAGCAGATAGACTTATTTTTACAGCTTTTCAAAAATGCGTTAATAAATTTTTCCAAAATTGTTATATTCACATTTACAAAAATTTAGAAGTATATTTTTCATACAACAGTATACACACATAATATCATAAATATTTAACTTAACCTTTATTTAGCATTATTTTACACAAACGATACAGTTTAAATAAATATATACCGTTAAAATTTGACAATTTTACACACTTTTAATCTATTAAATTCTTATATATACAGTCGCTTTCATACAATTTCAAATTTAGCGGTAACAAAAATTAAAATAACAAGAAATTTTAAATATAAAAACATACATACATATGTTTATATGTGTAAGTAAGTAAGCGTATAATTTTTAATTTAATTGGTTTAAAAAACTTGACATTTCCTTTTCACAAAATTACTTATATCAATTAAACCTTCATACTATATATATATATGTAATTTATTTCACTCATTTTATTAAGATATGGACTAACTGCAGAGCCTCACTTTGAATGTTTTGCTCCACCCGGAGACTTACATTGAGGGGAACGAAAGTTCTTCTTTATTCCTTAGCAATTAATAATTTTTTTTTGCCACCAATTTTTTTCAATTTTTTCATTGATCGATTTAACTTCATATTTCCCAACAAAAAATATTACTACTACTTCCACTTGGCACTCAACAGGTACTAATTTTGTTTCAAGCCTAATCTAGCACAAGCATACCAAGAAAGTTCGAATGGCTATGATAATGATTTTCGATATCCTAAGACTCAAACCTCAACAATTAACATATAGCCGGGGAGTCGCGAAAAATTTGTGTTTTGAAATTATTATAAAATAAACGGATACAAGCTTTTAAGTGATTTTCCCTTACTGAAATGTCGTAATATTCCGATAAATGATGGAACACCGCTTCGTTTGTCAAGTGAATATTCTAATAAATTTTCGATTATGGGGTCTACTATGGTTACAATGGTGATCTGAATTTCGTTCACCAAGTCGTAAATCGTCTCTTGATGGCTGGCGGGGCACCCTTCCTTAACGGTTTTCCGCAAAAAATAGTCCAACAGAGTTATGTCGCATGTACAAGGCAGCCAGTTGAGATCGATTGTTGGGTGTGTGACACGGATTATATTAAAGTCTGGTACGATAACGAACAGTACAAACGAAAGGGACGAACGAACGGTAACGAACTTTCATCAACAGACCAATAATGTCACCGGATCACTTGCCGCACCAAATAGTCACTGCTTGGGAATGTATTTTTCTATCACATGCGGTGAGTTTTCTGAGCTCCAACTGATGAGTGGAGTTTTGGTTTTTAATTTTCAACAAAAATTCTCATATTCTGCCAAGCGATCTTCAGCTCATTGAGCGAAGCGAAGTTGCAGCGCAATTATTACGAGGCTTCAGTTTTTGAACCAACGTCGCCACTGAGGAGAGAATATGAGTTTCAACGAGAATGCCAAAATTAATTCTCGTGTTCTGCCAAGCAATCTTCATCTCATGGAGCGAACCAAAATTACGTTGTATGATCATGAGCTTCAGTTCGTGCACCAGTCTGACGTTATTAGCTTTCATAACGACATATATATGACATTTTATACAAGGTATTTTTCCAATCGGCGTGGAGCTGATATTAATCATACTTTGAGCAATAACAGCATTATTTTCCTCAGAACACACCAGATGATGACGTGAGCAAGTCGTTTTGCTCGATAATGAACCGACTTGGCTACACTTGCTGCACTTGCTGCACTTGTAATTAATTCGCAAAATTTTCCCTTACGGTAGACCTACTATGTTCGCCGTAGACCGCAAGCCTGACACTAAATTTTTTACACATGGAAAATGTCCTTAACGCTGTCAAAGCACCAAAAGAATTGTGGTTCAAACAGCATACCACAAGCGCCTGACCCTTTACATAGACATTTTCATCTTGCATACTTTTCGGCCGTCATCTTTTGCTTATAATCAAAAATTCCGCCAGATGTCGCATAGTAACTATATGAAACTATGAGGACAGTCACAAGGGAAATTCTGTTAGGAATTGCAATTCTCAAACGATTTGAGCGGCGTTTCATTTAAATGGTAAATCAGTAAAACCCCAACCGATCATGACTAAACTTGACAAATAGTTTGTTTTACTTCTTGTGCAACTGAAATTAAATAAACCAACAAAGACCATGCATCCTTTAGAACAAGGAACCAGTAAGAGAATGTATCAAGTAAAAGATTTCAGGCAAGAAGGGAAATTAATTTTTCAAATTTTAGTACGGAAATCTCAATATTTCACTCATTTTCTTGTTTATAAGCATGTATTATGCTGCGGTTTTGCTCACAAACTTATTCTTAGCATTTAAAGTACAACCCATTTTTACTTTCATACACCCACGTTTCTTATTCATGTACTACTCTTAACTAAAACTGTCTTTTCTTACTCTATTTCATTCTACTCACAGCTCTGTATTGAATTTACCCTGCATCCGCCTCCTAATTAACACTTGCATCCCTCAGTGATCTTGTCGAGGGCAAGCCCTTGAGACCTTTCTCCAACTTATCGGCATCACCGGCAGAGAAGCGATAACTCGTGTGGCCACCTTGACCGCCATTTGCGCCGCCTAGACCACCACTTACACAGAGTAGCGAACGATTGGCATTCAAACTATTTCGCTTATTCACAACTGCCGCCGCAGTTGCATCCGTGGCAGCTGTACTGACTACCGACGTGCAACTGGCACGTGACGAACGTCTGCTGGCTAATAGCTCAAGATGTTCGTCAGCTGCACCGCCACCGCCACCAGTGTATGCGTAATGTGTGACTGAAGAAGTAGTTGTTGTTGCTGTTGCAGCGGTAATAATTTTACCGGGCGGTGAATCCTCCAACGTTTCGGGCAGTCGCTTGTAGTCACCACTTTGCGAACGATGGAGTTTCCAAGAGGAACGACGACTGCTGTTGTTACTCGGCGCACTACTACCACCGCCACCGCCAGCGCCGATTCCACTTCCACTTACAGTCACAGCACCACCGCCGGTGGCAACATTCACAGGGCCATTATGTCCCATAGTGGCGGAAGGTGTTACTGCCGGCGGACTATTGCTACTGCTCGAATGCGTGGACGCATTGCTTGAGAGGCTGCTGTTGCTGTTGCTCTGGTGTTGACTGTAGTTGGCGTTGCTGTGATGGGAGTTTCGGCGTGCGCTGCGATGCATTTGCTGTTTTGTTGCTGCGCTTTGCCGCTCGCCTTCACTAATTGTGTGCAGATTTGTCATGTGCTCGCCGGCAGCTGGCGTAGACGCTGCTGATATGATTGTCGTTGCCGTTGTTGTAGCGGACGTGTATTGGTGTTCGTATCGCGAGGGTGGCGATTGCGTCAGACGCTGTGCTGAAGGTGATGGGGACTTTGACGCCTCATACTGCTCTTCGATCGGTTGCAGCAAAGCCTCGGTGGAGCGGCAGCAATTGCTGCTTTTACTAACCGAGTGCTTCATTATCCAACGATAATCATTGCTATTCTCATCATCCAATGGCGCATATGATTTGACATTACCGTTGCTGCAATAATTGTCACCCAGCAGGCGTTCCTTCGAGCCAGTTATTGAGCTTGGCCCTTCGGCGGGCGATATCACTTCCTCAATGGTATTCAGTGGCGACACTTGTAGAGTCTGTTGTTGTTGTAGTAGTTCAATTTCAGTCTTTATCGCCGGGTCGATGCCCAGCAGGCCGAGCACCAAACGCGGATTGGCCAACACGAAACGTTCAAAAACGGGAAAATCTATTTTGTAGAAATCAGTTTGAGTGGCGCGTGTTATTTTCGGCACCTCGGCCGCAGCAGGTGAATTTGTCTTGGCGCTACCACTAGCGCTTATACCACCACCCGTACTCGCAACGCCGCCATCACCACCAGCCGGCATGCCATTTTGTACACCGGCCAAGCTACCCATAGCCAATTGCATTTCACGCCCCCATATTTCCGGCGGATGTGACGAAGAGCGTTGCAGTGACATATCATCGGTGCTGCTCGCTACAAAGTGCATGGTGCTGCCCACACCCGCCACACTACCAACAGTGCCACAAATATTTGGTATTGAACGCGCAGGTGGAAATTTCAAACTCGCTTGCGATGCCATCGTCGAGAAGGTCATCTCTTGCAGCGCCTGTATGGCATTGCGCACCTCGAGGCTCAACTGCGCCACGTCACTATGTAGCGTTGAAACCTGTGAGTCCAAACGCTCCATTGAAGGTTTCTTTTTCATGCTGCGCAAGTCATCATCGCCCTCATCGCCACCATTCATGTCCTCATCCATCGAACCGGTGTCTAAGCTGGATGTTATATTCAATGAACGCTGCCGCTCCACGCGCTCACGTAACGTAATTAATGACCGACCACGCGGATGTAATTTCATTAAACGGGGACTATTCATGCCCAAAAGTGGCGAGCGCCCATGCAGCGGTGATGGTGTGGCAATACTGTGATGTGGTGAGGCCGTCGCTACTGAGGCGCCTCCATTTTCGTTCTCGTCATCGCCGCCTTCACCTTCCTGTTGGTTCTCGTCATCTTCACTTATGCTCGGTAGCGGAAAGGATGGTCCAATTTCGGAGTCTTGACACTCATAACCCTCACGCAAATTGAAGGTGAGATCATGTTGAATGTCATTGGCGAATTGCTGTTGATATTCCGGATAGAGGCGCAGCACTTCGACAAGGCCGCCCATATGCACGCACTTGAGATCGCAATATGTGAGCGCCTGATAAGGAAGGAAGAAAATTCAATATTTAAATAAACAAGTAGATCATTTAATAAAACGAAACACATAATTCAATTAACTTCAATTAAAAATAATTTAAATTATAGCAAGGTAAACTAAAACTAAGAAATGTAAATTAAAAGGAAAACAATAAAATAAAAAAATGGAAAACTTGAATACATTATATACATAGTATAATATACAACAGCTCAGCAACCGCTAAAGCAATTACCCGAATAGCAGCATCTCAACGGCTGTTAGTTTTCTAATCAGAAGCTTTTTTTCTTATAAGAAATACACTCGGAGGGGTGTAAAATAAAATTTAGTAAGCTAAAATGAACTAAAATTACATAGTAAAATGTAAAATAAAATAAAAATTTATTTAAAATAAAATAAAAAATAAATTAAAAATAAACTTAAAAATGAAATTAAATTAAGTAAACCTAAATAAAATTTAATAAAATAAAATTAAAATAAAAAAATAATAATAATTATAAAAAAACAAAAGAAAATAAACTAAACTAAAGCAAAATAAAATTATATTACATAAAATAAAATACACAAAATAAAATATAAAAACCAAAAAAAAAAATTAAAACCAAATAAAATAACTTAAAAAAATGAATTTCAAAACAAAAATTAAATTAAATAAAATTATGTACGCCAAAATTAAATTAAATTAAAAAAAAATTATAATATAATATAAAAAAAATAAAAAAATTAACCAAAACAAAATAAATTAGAAAAAATAAAAATTAAATTATATAAAATAAAGTTAACAAAATAAAATATACTAAGTTAATTTTTCACTATTTCCAAAAAAAGATGGTCTGAGACAGTTCCATAAAAAAACCAAAAAAAAAATATAATAAACAGAATTACTTAAAATTTTTTTATTTATTAAATATTCAAATATTACAAACAAATTTAAAAAATTAAATTAAGAAAACGTAAATTAAATACAACAAAATAATATAAGACTAAAGTAAAAAAAAAACTGTAATAATTAAATAAACTAAAGTTAAAACAAGAAAATAAAATAATTAAATAAAATAAACAAAAAAAAAGTAAAATTGAATCGAATAAAATATAATACAATAAATTAATTTGAAATAATGTGAAATGAAATAAAATATCAGTAAATTAAAATAAATTAGGACAGTATAAAATAAATTACAATATAATATATTGAACAAAAGAAACTGAAATAAATTTATTAAAATTAAATAAGAATACATTGAATTAAATTCCAAGTGGAATAAAATAGAATAACATCAAGTAAATAATTGAAAATGAAATTATATGAAGAACCCAAACCGAAAATGGAATAATTATCGAAAGATTACATTAAAATCAAATAAAACAAATATCAACAGAATTTTGTAAAAATATACTACCCCCAATAACTGTATAGTACATAAACAATAGTTGAAGATTTTCTCACTTACAAAACTAATATTTTAAACATAACTTTTTTTTTATATTCTGTCATTAAAAAGTAGCTGCGAAAAGTATTGTTTTTTTTCTGCTACTTATAGACGCAAATAATGAACGTGGAAGTGCATATTTGTCTATGTGTCCTTTACATAATTAAATCACAAATAACTTGTGGTTTACCGACCAGCAAACATTATGTATTATTATACGCTGTTGAGGCAGGAAATTAATGTTAATCATACGACATGACATACTTCCAGTTACTTTCCGCTGCTTTTAATGTATGATTGTTTGCATCAACAAATATAATAAACGGCCGCGAGTACACATGAGAAATTTTTTGCTACTTATGTTTTGTGCTGTGAGGAATTTATTTGTATTGTAACGAAAATCGTATTAAAGGAAACTAAATATTTAAAAAAAATCGTCAGATTCTTGTATATTTCAAGACTATTTTCTCAAAAAAAAAAAAAATTAATTAATTAATTAAAAAATTATCATTTTATTTATAACAAAAATCATTTATAATTTATATGAAAAATAATTTCAAAAGAATCAATTTTAATTTCATACGTCATACGAGTATAATTTTTCATAGTTCTTAACCCCGCTACAATAAGTTTCCGTTCAAAATCACCACTTAATTAAAATTATATTTTCCTTCATTAATTCACTCATTATATATGCATTAACTGTTAATTTCGCTCACCTTCACATCGCTGCTACTACGCACCACCACATCCTGTCCAGCGCTGTTTGTTGTCGCCGTCATTTGACCATTCGATGTGGCAACCAAGTGAACATTGATATCAGAGCCAACCAAATCACCCTTGCCTGGGGGCAGGGAAGAATTAAAAAAAAACGAGAAATGTGTACACAGATTAATATTTTATAATGGCAGATAATGAGCAAAACACAAATGTAATGAAATGAAGGGCAAAACTTATTTGTTTTAATGAAAAGATAAAAGAAAACTGAAGTCAATTGTCAACAGCTTTTGTTTAATTTCGTTTTTAATTTGTTATTTGCTTTGCTCTTCTAATTAATACTCCTTCTTTATTTATACCCAACGCCACTCACCCAAAATGGCCACAACCATGTCGTCCTTGATGACCTCCATTGAACCATTACACAGATAGTAGATATAATTCAAAGCATCGCCTTTGTGTATCAGGAATTCGCCAGGAGCACAGAAATTAGTCTTGATATGCAGTGATAGTAGTTTCAGGCAGCCCTGTAAAGTGAGGTTGAAAAAACAACAAAATTTGGGTTGAGCATAAGTATGGAAAATATGCTGAAAACAATACTTTTTAAGTTGAAATATAAAGTGAAAAGAAATAATGCATTAGAGTTTCGGCGCTTTTTTTCTTAGAGTTGAAAATTAGAATTAAAATTTACAAATTTAAATAAACGCCGAAAAAGCTAAAATTCACATATCACATTCGAAGCTGAAACTATGGCCTATAAAAATTTTCCAATTTATTTTGCTTTCGAGTAAAAATAAATCACTTCACTGTCACTTTATTATAAAGAAAGGGATTTGCTATTATGATCTCAGGCAAGTTCAAGCACTTAACACTTACTACAATATCCTTGAATTCTATTTATATAACAGGCGATTCATATAACAGAAAAGTATCCAATCCCTGCAGGTGTTCCGCAGAGTACATTAAGGCCAAAAACGTGCCCTATCGTTAAGCTCAACAATGTGCCTTACCCACACGAAATAATTGGCATTCACTTGGATGAACGATTAACCCGAAAGTTATACACTACCGCCAGAAAGATGCAGCTGAAGCTTAAATTAACTGATTTATATTACCTCTAACGCAAGAAATCAAGGCTCAGCCTAAAAAATACGGTATTTCTTTATAATGCAACTATACATACGATATTAATATATCAAAAACAATTTTGGAGTACAACTGCCGCGACAAATCTAGATATCATAAAATAGAATTCCCGTCGAAAGGAATAATAACAGAGATCTAAATATACGCACAATCAAGAAGGAGATTGAAATCGTTACACAAAAATACATAGCAAAACTGCTCAATCATTCGAACCCTCAGGCCTTCACCTCTACCTACGCAACGGGTCAAACGCGCCTGAAGAGAAGGGACTTACTACCAATGTAAGGAGCAACACTGAGCCAGCAGCCCATTCTTGGTCAATCGGTTATTATATTTTAATTTAGTTTTTTAATATTAGTTAACTCACTGAGATGCTTCTGATATTGAAGCAGATTCAGTACATAAATACAGTTTTATAAAATAAAGTAAGTGACCGTCGCAACTGGCTCGAATAAATTCCAGCCGAGAAGCGACTTCACAACACACCACAAATATAGGACAACAATAACAAACAACATGATCTTGGATGCCATGCTACATATCCATGTCAAAATTTTCCTTCAATAAATTAATTATTTTGTTAGCTGTACGGCATGCGGCACCGTTTTCTTGTAGCCAGCTGGATTTTTGAAGAAAAGTGGATTAATGACTCCATCTGTCAATAAAGCACACCAAAAAGCGACTTTTTGAGGATGACACGGCGTATGAAAGTACGATGCGCTTGACGATCGTTCGGCAGCAATAGAGGCTGTGGTAGGAAACCATTCCATAGTTTGTAGAATAACCGACTCTGTGATGTGTAGCGATTATGTCTACCAAATAAAGATCGTAGAGCGTGTTGTGTAATAAATTTGCGTCTCGCTGCTCCTATGCCATGTCGTAATACAAAGAGAAATTATTGCCTTAACTGCCATTTTGCTGTGGGTGTGTATGTTGATATTTTTCCTTTACCTACCTGCATTGCTGCTGAGATAGCAACTTTTCCTACTACGAAGATCTGTACTTCAGAAATTCTGTAACACATTGTTTACCTGAGACCTAACTCAGTCTAGCCTTTGAAACAAATTCTAATGTCAATTGAAACCTTCTTTTTTCCAATATATGGCGTGGTGTTGTTTAGCTTTTTCTTTTCATACTCTTTCTCTGCTGATTGAGCTTCTCACAAAATTTCTTTAAAAACATTCCCCCACATCATAACGGATTCCGATTAATCCCCATTGCAATGTCAATGTGATATTCTATTATTAATATTTTTGCCGTTACAACAACAACAGCAACACAATCAGGTAATGAGCGCGTAGTGGCCATAAATCCTATCATATATTTACACGCCTTTCTTCCTCTCTTGCCTACATCGAGTTTACCGCTGATGCTGGCTGTCCAAAAGCACTACCAGGTACCTGGTACAGTAGCGCCGTCTGCATAGGCATTTAGATAAGCAATTTTCCCTTCAAGTTTTTTCAGAAGCTCTTGTGGGCACAGCAGTCGAGACAATACAGCCCAGTCGCAGTTTCACTAAATGCCAGCCTGAGTGAATTTCCTTCAATCCTTTTCACCTACACCTCTGTGGAGTTCAGTAGTCTTTTTATTCGTTAGAGTTCGGCTGGGTATAAATGACTACTTGTAGACTATTAACAATTGCCTTAATGCGGAATTTTTACTGAGCTGCAAGATGCCGCATTTTTACCCAGAAAGAAACCTACAACTGCTTCCCAATGTCCTTGAATGCTTCCTGCAACTATGAGCTGCTGCGCCAAGTGCAGCCTTAGAATATCTACTTTGCGTCTCTAATATGTTCACCGTTAAAATATTATCTCTAATATAGGTGACTAGAAGCTTAGCGAGCGTTTTCAGGAGGAATTGGTCTTTATTCTTTTGTTAAGAGAAACCTCTCTTTGAATGCTTTCAGTATGTAATGGATTTATTAAAATGAAGGATACTATCTTTTATCAATTGCATAGGACTGTTGGAAAATTCTCTACTAAGAAGCAGATAAAAAAATGTCGTGCATAAGTTTTGGTGCTTAAAAATCATAAAAGAGTTTAAAAAAAATTTCGTTTTCCTTCTTCTTTTTCTTATTTATCTGACAACTCGTGCATGTTTATCAAAATTCTTTTCTACATTTTAATATTTTCTTAAGAAACTATTCAATCACACACGCACGCACTTAACATTATACCACTTTTTCAGCTTAAACGTTTAGTCCATCATCCTTTCAGGTACATGCATAGCAATTCCTCAAGTTGTCATTTATGTGACATAAACAATACACACACGCACATATACATACATATTAACATATAAATTTGTATAAATATTTTATGTGCATTTGCTGCGCATTTTAGTCATCTTCAACAGCTTCTTACCTTTACGTTTGCCGTTCTCACGCAATTTCGTTGCTTGAATTGTTGCTTTGCCCTCACCGCCTGCCCGCCTGACCGCCTACGCAACAGCAACTGCACTTTGCTCAACAAGCGCATTTTCTTTTGTCGTTGCCACATGTGAGCCATGACTTTTTTTGCATCAACTGCACAGCAAATGTTTCTGTCAAGTACTTTTGCATTTGTACACGCTTAAGTGTTTTCTTTTTCATTTTGTTTTTCTTCTCTTTTACTTTTTGGGTCAGCATTCGCTATTGCGTCATATGAGTATGCATGTGTGCACATATTTTTGCTTAAAGTTTTGCCGGAATTAAATTTATATGCTACTCTATTTGAGAATTTCGTACATTTGAATATGTTGAAAAGTATTTGTAGAGACAAAAAGCCTATCCTGAGAAAATATATTTACGCTTCTTCTTCTCCTTCTTTTCGTGTGACAATTAGGTGATTATAGCCGAGTTGACCACAGTGCACCAGGCGTTCCTTCTGTTTGCATCTTTTCTTCCCCAGCTTCCACCGGTGGATACTGAATCAAACTTGAAATGTTTGTATCCACATGGACCACATAAACTAGCCAGCGCAACGGTTGTATCTTGTTTTGCTGAACTATCTCAATTTCTCCGTAAGTCAGGTCATCATTCCATCGGCTGCGGTATTCCCAACTCACAGGAGGGCAATAAATGTTACGCAAAACTTTTCTCTCGAGAACACCTAACGATGACTCGTAACATATTAGCATCGTCTATGCTGTCATGCCATAGTATAGTATGCTTACTTTACTTTATAATTGCCTACTCATATCAAAGAGACACCGTGTGGTATGAGTGATTCTGCGCTGGATTTTCTGGCCATTAGTATGTCTGTGTTGTGGTGTGATACTGCTTCCGAGATAGACGAAAGATTTCAGATTTGTGACTCTCAACAGTGTCGTGTAAGACGGATTGGGTATGCGATATTCAGAACCTCGCTTGGTATCGAACGGACCGCTAGTTGATTTGTCACGTGGTGAACATTGGGTCAATGTTGGATTTGCCATATCTAAAGTCAGACTGATTAGGTCCAAATCTTTTGTGATAACGGTAGTTAAACTCTCATACTCCCATACGGACCATATTATTCTGGAATGGGCACAGTGCACTTAGGCTTAAATCGGCATATTTCATCAGACAGTTCAGTTCAGTTTTTGAGATCGACAAATGATTGCTTCAGTCCAAAAATTGTCCGAGAGCTTTCGCATCTTTTCGTTGAAAATTCGAACACTATCTCTGATGGCCAGCGAGAGGAAGAGATAGAGAAATCTCTTCATTTTTATCCATATCGCCCTTTTTTCCTCTAAAAATGCGTTCTACTTCCCTTTTCAATTATCGTTAACTGTCCCAAACCAGCATGTGAAGTGATTTTACGTAAGTGGCTTGAAATCCCTTTTAACTCTTCTCTCATACTCAGTTGCTGATGAATGAAATAGAAATGTTGAAAAAATCGGAAATACCACGCCTCCCATCCAAGCTTCTGGAGCTTCTGGCGTGTCCCCAAAGACGTGTGTGGCCTGACGTTGTCCTAATGGAATACAATTCGACCTCTGTTGATCTGAATGACTGTTGCCTTCCAGCGGTCCATTTGTTGACAGTAGAGGGCCGAATTGAGCGTTTGGCCATAGGGGAGCAGCTCGTAGTAGATTATTACTTGCAACAAAACAAAACCTGGTGCATCTTTGAGATCGAAACTACCGGAACGAAACTTAGCAAACCGCTTTTGTGCTACACGTTCGTTTACAGTATCGGGCCCATGAACTAAATTAATCTTTTCAGCCGCTTTGGCTGCTTTTGCTGGTGTCCATCGTTGACGAACACTCACAACGTATTGAGTCAGTCAATCGAAAAACAGTCAAAGACAAACTTTTCACGCGAATAATAACGTTTCCAGCGCCGTATAGTATGACATGAAGCGACTCGTATCGCTAGTACTATGGGCAATATGAACCGTAAGACAAGAATTTTAAGTAAAAAGAGCATAAAATACGATTTCTTCGACGAAGTGGGTCTCCCGACCAGATCGCGCGCGAAGAATGGTCTTCCTGCGAATCTAAGCGAAAATCGAAACACATGAGATTTTTGTGAATAGGTCAATGACCGGTTCATTTCCCGCCCAAAATTGTTTCGTACAAACCTTTGCAGGAAGCTTGGAAATCAACTGACAAATTTTCAGTAAAATGTGCGTGAAATTATTGAAGATCACTGGCAATAAACATATAATACATATAAGCGTTCTTACATAAAAAAATATATAAAAGCAACTGGTTTACGAACTAAAAATAAATAAAATTTTACGTTAATCCTAATTTTAATCCCTACATCCCCGAAATATCATGAACAACTTTTATTTAATCATAAAGCGAAAATAAGCACCTAAAAGCAGACAACATTTTTCTGCAAAGTGAAAATGTGAATTGGAACGAGTAGCCTACAATTAGGAGCTTTTTATAAAGATTTTTTAAATTTACTGCTAAAAATATAATGGTAAAAGTACATACATACTTTTCTTATCCAAAAATAATCTAAATGAAGCGTTCTAACCAAGATGTCTTCCAAAAGAAATACTTTTGCATATCACTTACTTTACGTCGAAACTTATTTAAATAACATTTATTTACGCTCACTCATACATACTATACACACATGCAAGTTTATAAACGTTTCATAAACTCTGCTCCTTTAGCGCCTGGCAAGTACTGGGCTTTCACCGATATTACTTTTGTCTTAGGTTTGCCTTATTTTCTTAAGTAGTGTGTTTTTAAATTTTTTTTTTTTTATTTTTTTTTTGTTTACAAAAAAGTCAGTATAAATAACACAAACACACTCCGAAAAGCCTTTGTGACACATTCACCCACATACATACGAGTGTGCCAATACCATTTAACTCACATTCAATACACTCAAAGGCATGAATTTCAAGGAAATCATTTACGAATTGCAACATATCATATGCCACGACATAAACATGATTACTCATAAATATATATAAATATTAATGCCTACCTACATATGTATATACATACGTATTTGTGTAAGTGCTGTAATTTACCTGCGAGGCGGCTTCGAATATTGGCAACTGTAGAATCTCACGATGTAAATGCATGGACACATCACCGCGCAGCTCTTCGGGGAATTCGCGTAGCGTCTGAAAATTATAAGCATACAAAAAAAATACGTATATAAATTTAATGCAAAAATTGAAATGGCAAATAAATATTACATATATTTCAATAAAATTCTTTGTATTTGTTGTGTTTGGTTCTACTTAGTATGCAAACGTTTCGTATGCTGTAAAGTAAAGATATATATGTGTATAGGTGTGACCTTGGTATATAAGTATTCCGCGCAGCTTTATATGGAGTTATGCATGTGTGAATGTGCTCAGCAAAAATGTGTAATATAAGCCGCACACTTTTAGTCTGTATATAACTGTTGTTTGTTGGTTTAGTTGGTAATTTGACACACTTGTCACCGGAAGTGTCAGCAGCTGATGGAATTATTTGTGTCATGGCAAGTCTGCGCAGTTGTAAAATTGTTGCTTATCTTAAGGCAAATCATATCAGAGACTTCACAGCAACTATATTAAAGATTAGCGCTATTTAAAAAGAGGTCTCCAACAGTTTATGCTGTCACGCTCAATTCCTTGTGAGACCAACATCCAAAATTATGGAAATAAATTTTGAATTAATTCCTCACATTTCAGTCACCCCTTGGCTGGGAATGTCAAAACCCCCAATTGTGCTTCTGACAAGAAATAAGTAGCTCCTCCCTTTGCTCCTTGCAGTAGGAGTGGCTGGATTGTAGCTACAATCCCTTTCAGGATGTGCCGCAAAATGATCAAGATGTATTTTTTTCTTTTTAGCAAGCTAAGCTTTCACAAGCTTCTATTATCCCATTTACGGGACACATTATTTTGGTCTCATTGCAAATGTTGTTCTATCTTGCATAAGACAAGCGGCGTATCCTAGGGTAGTGTTTTAGGTCCTTTCCTTTATACTTTTTTCTCATCGGATATGCCCACATGAGAAGCGGTTGAAGAGGCGACCTTTGCTGATGATACCGCTTTTATCGCTTGCAGAGAGTATCCTGTAGAAGCTTACTAGAAAACAAAATACGTACTCTACAAAGCCATTTTTAATCCTATATGGACCTACGGAATCCAGCTCTGGGGTAATGCAACCAAGTCCAATGTGGAGGTCCTTCAACGTTAACAATCGAAAACGTTGGGATCAATGGCTTATGCTCCCCGGTATGTTACCAATGAAGCTATTCATAAAGATTTAGGCATACCCTTTGTAAAAATTGAAATTCCAAAAAACACCGCTAGTTATCTTGCACGCCTATCTAATCACATAAATCCAATTGCTACATGTCCATTAAATACCATCTATGAAACTATACGATTAAAGCCATTTTTCTAGTATTTATAAATAAAAAAAAAAAGAAATAAAAAATAAAAATAAAAAATATTGTCAACCTTCACAACTTAATGTAAACTTAGTAAATTAAGTTTTGGCTAATGATAATATTGAGAATTTAATTATTCATAAATAAATTATTTTTTATTTATTATTGTAGATGGGACCAGTAATATGGGGGACTTTGCACAAAATTCCATATTTTAACTAGCGAACATCCGCTCAGCACTGGTGACTGGTAACTTAAGTAACGGAATTTTTTTCATATTTTTAGTTTATTAAATTTCACATCAAAATATATTTTACGCTTGTCTAGACGATCATACTATAATTTGTGCTCTGCAAATAATAAAAAAAAAATATTTTGCTTTCCAATTTTGCTTATTTTTAGGGCGCACATTTTCTATCGAAAAATCAAAAAGACTCAATTTATTTTCAATATAAAATTACATATTGCACTTCCAATCAAATCGAATTCGCAAAATTGAAATGAAATGCTGCTGAAATGGTATCTTTTTCGAATTTCGTGTTTATCGCATAATTCTGCACACATCAGTGGAGAAATAAATGAAGTGTTGTGAGTGTATGTGTGCAGCGGGTGAAATGTAGCACAATTCGTTGTATCTCTAGATTCTATCTAGAAGACTTGTGTAATGCTCCACTGCTTCCGAAGATGTGTAGATACATTTGAAGAAGTAGTAGGATATCAATCCCTTTGAACTGCTGATTTCTCTCTGACAAATGCACTCAAATCATCACAAACTCATTAAAACGCGCAAGCAAATGTATGATTGTTTTACAATTTCAGCACGAAAAAAGTACAAAAAAAAGTTATGCCAAAGAAATAAATTAATGAAAAGAATTATTCCAGTAGTGATGTTCAGAGTGTAAAAAGAAATTTATTATTTGCAAATGTGATCAAAGAAGAGCAATTCCATGCACGCTGCTGTTGACAAATGCAACAAAAAATAATATTTTTTTAACATTCTTGCTGACCGGCATTTCTTTTCGCCTCTACAACAAGACAATAAGTAAAATTATGAACTTTTCTGCTAAGAAGGCGCCATTAAGTGATAGAAAGTGCCACACATATGTCAAAAATGTATTACATTGTTGCTGTGAGTTGTTATTGCTGAGCTATGCAATCAATATTTTGCGTTTACAATTTTCCAACGATGTTCTTTTAATAGCCGCGTGCAGTAAATTGTTGCATACGGCAAACAATCAATTGCATGAGCGATGCTTGTACACATTTATTACTTTATGTGAAATATTAGAAATCATTTGAGAAAAAAACAAAAAAAAAATAAGCTTTGAAATCATATCAAGCTTGGATAGCACAAAAATTCAAAAACCATTTGCTTTAAATGTTTTCTTTATTAAAAACAAAAAAATCAAATTTTATCATTAAATACTACTCAATAATTATCCAACAATTATATTTACGAATCACATATAAAATTGCAGGGAAAAGTTAAAATAAATGGAATTATCATGAGCTTCATAGATGAGAAATAAAAAAGTAAAAAGTTTTTTTTTCTTCTCATATTTTATTTTACTTAACTTTAATTTACATAATTTCATTTTAGTAATTTAATTTGTTTTATGTCATTTCATTTCATTTTATTTAATTTTAATTAGTTTTCTTTACTTTCTTAATTAAGTTTTATTTTATAAAATTTTTTGTTTTTTGGGTGTATGCATTAATTCGTGCGGTTTTCTAAGAGAAGGCTCTACTAGTATTATTTTGCGGTATATTCATCTGGCTATATTTATTTCAAAGGTACTAACAATTCGCGTCGTTTTCAGTAGATATCATTTTTTTTAGCGTGAAGAACAATTTGTTCCATTAATTTGAAAATATCGAAATTTGTACCAGATAAAGTGTTTTGCGGGGAGTTCTTCTTCATTACTTTAACATGAAGAAAAGTGCTACCGAAAGTAATCGTATTTTACTGGTGGTGGCCATGCTTTAGCCGAACGAACGTGCCAAAAGTGGTTTGCACGAACTTAAAGTGGCAATTTCGACTTAAACGACGGAGAACGACCAGGACAGCCAAAAAAATTTCAAGACGAAGAATCGGAGACATTGCTCGACGCAGGTGCAGTCTGGCAGTCGCAAGAAAAACTTGCAAACGTATTTGGAATTGATCAAGCAGCCGTTTCAAGTCGATTAAAATCATTAGGTTTCATCCAGACGCTTGGAAATTGGAGGCCTTATGAATTAAGGCTGAGAAACGTCGAAGGTCGATTGTGGAAATGTTGTTTCAACGCCACCAAAATAAGTCATTTTTGCATCGGATTATTACTGGCGATGGAAAATGGATTCATTACGATAATCCAAAGCGCAAAAGATCGTATGTGACGCCCGGCCAACTATCAACATCCACAGCAAAGCCAAATATCCATGGTGCCAAGGTTATGCTATGTATTTGGTGGGACCACAAGGGTGTGCTCTATTATGAGCTATTGAAATCGGGTCAGAAGATCGGTAGAGGTCCCGAAAGAAGTTGATTTGTTTGAAAAACGTGATCGCGGAAAAATATGCGACCAGACACGAATCAATAATTTTTCATCATGACAACGCTCGGCCAGCAATATAAGGCCGTTAAAAACTATTTGGAAAACTGTAGATGGGAAGTTTTACCTCACCCGCCTTATAGCCCGGACATAGCACCTTCCGATTACCATTTGTTCAGATCAATGCAGAATGCCCCCAACGGAGTACCCTTCACTTCACAACATGGAATCATAAAATGGCCCGATTTTTTCCTGACCTCCAATCCGGAGAAGTTCTTTTGGGATGCCAGAAAGATGGGCAAATATCATAGCTTCCGATTTTCGAAAACAAAGACCGCCCGAATTAATGCAGACACCCAATAATTTTATTTATCTTATTTTACTTTACTATTATTTTGTTTTTATTTTATTTTATTTCATTTTATTTTATTATCTTGTTGGTTATTTTATATTATTTTATTTCATTTTGTTTAACTTTATGTTATTAAATTTAAATTTATTTTATTTAAGTGGATTTAATTTTAGTTTTTTTAATATAATATTATTAAATTTTTCTTTAGTTAATTTATAATTTCTTCAGCATGTAAAACTATTTGAGTTTATTTTTTTTAATTTAATTTAATTTTGTCTTATTTTATTTTGATTAAATTTATCTTATTTTATTTGTTTTACGCTAAAAAAATTTATTTTTCTACATTTCGTTTTACGTCTTCAAATAAATTAGCTAAAAATTTTAATAAGTCTATGCATCCAATTCCGAAATACTACGTGATCCTTTGATTTTTCGGTTGTGCAACCAAATTTTGAGCTGCTTCCGTTGATAAAAACAATGCCTATTTTAGGGAGCTTTCCAAAACAACATTGTAATAGACCCATATTTAAAAATCTTTATTTGTTTATATTATGCTAAAATTATTCGATAGCTTTTTTTAAGTAAGTTTATAAAAAGGTCAACTATCACTTCAAGTTATGGTAATGGTTACGCCATTATCCCTTGGCAAAGCAATGCATGTACAAATACTGCTTAGGGGTAATTTAGTTCGTGTAATAAAATGCAATAAATTAATTTAGTTGTAAGAATAAGTATTGTGCCATTTCACGCCCTACATCAGTAACCGAAGACTCTTAACCACAGTCCACACACTGATACAAACAAGAGAATGTTCAATTTTCCTACCCTTCGTCCCTGTTGAAAATGTAAAAGTTTTCCTTTTTTGATTTCTGATGGTGTTAATACATTCACACAGGCAAGCAAACCTACATACATACATGTATGTTTCAGTAAATATATGTTAATATATACAATTTGTGTAGGTTATTATGTAAGCAACAGGCGACGGAAATTACAAAGTTTGGCATACGTTGCTTACACTATTCGTTTTCTGGGTGTCTCGTAATATGTATAAGCGGGTGTACGTGTATGTTGATACATGTCTAAAGGCGATATTTTCCAGCAAATTAACTGGGTCATTGGCTGTTGATTCAAATAACCTTTATACAATAACATCACAAGTGTGATAAGAGTGTTGAATAGGAAATAGATATTCATTTGTTGTCTGATGTTCAAAAACACTCATGATGGTGAAGATAAACTGTTGTTGCAAAACTTTTGTAGTGCTTGTAAATATTTTTGTTTTTCTTTTTCTACAGTCAATGGAAGTTGGTCATTTGGTCAGTGCCATCAGGAGCGTGCGAGATTCCTATAGAATTTTACGATTTTCAATGTGGACGATTGAATGGTCTTGATTTGAGGATTTGTAATTTTTTTTTTTTTTTTTTTTTGAGTTGGTATCGTTTTCACTTGATTTATACTCTGCTTTGCCTAATTTAAGTTTATATACATATTTCGGTTACACCCGTCGGTCAGTTTCAACAGAATATATATGGGTATTGGTACTATGAGCCATCATTAATCATGCGTTCTTTTCACAAAAAATTTTTGAATTTAAAACGGAGTGCAATATGAGAGAAAAATAACGTAAAAATGCCATTCTGTTATGTTTATTTGAAAAATACCTTTACGGAAATGATTTTTTTTTTTTCATTATGACGCCAATTTATCGAAACGAAGAGAAATTAAATCCACACAAATTCATTGTTAAGATTAATTTTAAAATGCCTTGCAATGATATTAACAGCACACTATATGAAATTTAACATTATCTGTAAATGATTTAACATCATCTCTTAACGACTTAACATTATCTGTAAACGATTTAACATTAACGACAATATCGTATCTTTTTTTCGTCGTTTGATGTCAATTGGAAATAACATGTGAAGCCAGGTCGCTCTCCACCTGATCCCTCCAACAGACTAGTAGAGTTTGGTTTTCGTTCGTTCGTTCGCGAAAGGACCTTACCATTTTTCAATAGCCTACACCTGTTGGCAAGAGAGATTCTGCGCTGGGTTTTAAGGCTGGCATTTTTAGTGGTGTTAGTGGTGGTTCCTCGATAGACGAAATTATCTACGACTTCAAATTTATGACTGTCAACAGTGACGTGGGAGCCGAGTCGCTTCGCTTCTTTATCAAGCGTGGTAAAGCAGAAATAACGGCGCGGTTGTTGAGGTCAATAATGCTAATATCATCGGCGTACGCCAGCAGCTGTACACTCTTATAGAAGATTGTACCTTCTCTATTCAGCTCTGCAGCTCTTAATATTCCCTCCATTATCAAATTAAAGAAGTCACAAGATAATGAATCACGCTGTGTAAAACTAAATTTCGTATCGAATGGTCCTTCCCGATTCTGATGGAGCTTTTAGGTTTGCTTAAGGTCACTTTACACAGCGATAAAAGTGTTGCGGGTATAAAAGATTCGGACGGAGTCGAAGGCTGCTTTAAAATCGACGAAGAGAAGGTGGGTGTCAATCCTCTTTTCACGGATCTTTTCCAAGATTTTTCGCATGTTGAATACCGGGTCAATGGTTGACTTACCAGGTCTAAAGCCACATTGATAAGGTCCAATCAGTTTGTTGACGATGGTCTTTCACACAATACGCCGACAGGACCTTATATGCGATGTTAAGAGGGCTTAGTTCACGGTAATCGGGATCGCCTTTTTTGTGGATTGGGCAGAGCACACTTTGGTTCTAAACGTCTGGTATCGGACCATATTTTGCACACAAGCTGATGCATGCATCTTGTCAGCTCTTCACTGCCATGTTTAAATAGCCCCTGCCGATTTGTTGTTTTTTTGGCCGGCAACCGCTTTTCGAACTTTGGCATGGGCAGGTAGCTGAATGTTTGTTCCATCATCTTCAATTGGAATTTTGGATCCACCATATCCGGGAGTTTCATTTTGACTGCTATTAAGCAGGTTGGAGAAGTGTTTCCTCCATTAATTCAGTTTACTCTCGATATCCGTCTCGAGATCCGCTCCTACAAGAGTTTACTCCGGTCTTGAAACCTTCCGTAAGTCGCCGTATCTTTTCACAGAATTTTTAGCTTTACCCTTGTCAACCAAGTGCTCTTTCTTTTTTACCCTGCAAATGTTTTATTCTGCCTTTTGCAACTCTCTATATCAATCCATTCCGCACGTGTTGTGGTCGATCGCAAGGTTGCGAGGTAGGCAGTCTGTTTTCTCTCCACCGCGACATGGCAGTTTTCGTCGTACCAGCTGTGTACGACCTTTCCGAAATCCAATAGTTTTGTTCGCAGCTGTACGTTAAGAGTTCGAAATGTCGTTCCACAGTTAATTTATGCCGGGTTGCTGATGCGTGCTCTCAGAGAGCAGGAATGCAAGTCCAGTAGAAAACCGCTCGACCATCTGCTGTGATTGCAGCTTTTCAACGTCTGTTTTTCCTTGTGTTTGTTGACGGGCGTTCTTCGATTCACAGAGGCGTATACGTATATTCGCTGCTACAAGATAGTGGTCCGAGTCGATACCAAGACCTCTGAGCGTACGCATGTCTAAAACACTGTATACATGTCGTCCGATAATCACAGCATGATAGGTTTGGTGGAGAGTTTTTCGATCTGGAATCTAGTACTACAGATAACCATATTTCGGACCCCGGCGAAGTCGCTCAGCCTCAGCCCATTTGTGGAAGTTGTGCTCCAAAAATACATTCTTTGCCCACACAAGCATTGACGTCGAAGCGGAGGCAGCGTTCAAAAATGTCGTTTACTTATAATTTCACACTTGAACACTTAAAAATGAAAAAACAAAATCCTAGAATTCTTGAAAGGGCAAACTTTTTGTTAAATTTCTATAATTCAACTAATATTGTGCAAAGCATTTTTGTATTGAAATTAGAAACTCATTTAAGCGCAAAGGACCCTGGATTGCTTTCAAATTTTATAATTAATCATAACTTGTTGGCAGCTCGAAAAACACGTGAAAAATACCAAAAAAAAAAAAATTATTTAAAAAAAAAAAACAAAAAATTCAGCAAAGAAAAGGGAGTCATTCACATTTGACAGGCCCAAATGCCAAAATAGTCTAGCAACACTTTAGAAGTTTTGCTGGTTTTTTGTACACAAAAACAAAAAGCATTCATGTGATGACTCGCCACATAGCTGATGTCACATAGCAAGACAATCAAGTGTCAAATGCATAAAAGTATATTCATCTTGAAATATACGATTTTATAATGTAAAACCCGCATCATTTACAAAAACACAAACTTACATACATATATACGAGAACGACATAGTGAAAAGGTTAGAACTAAGCTACAATAAAGAAGAGTTTGAAACAAAAAAAAAAAAACTGCATAAAAATTAAAGACCGGTCCAGACAAGAATTTTTCAAACAAAAAAAGAAAATTCTGCAGCGAACTCTCTTTACGTATATATATATAAATGTATATGTAAATATATATGTGTTGAAAGTAATTGAGAACATGAACCATCCACTCGTACGTACTACCAACCGAGCCTTGTGGCTAGAGTTTCCTTTACTAGCCACAGTCGCCTTATGCAAAGCATGAACCGCAGACGGTTTGCTGGTGGTAGTTTTTACTTTTATGTTATTCTATGTGTGTGCGTATGGTTACATTTGTGTTGGCACTTTTGTGGTTGTCTGCCATAAATATGCTAGCATTAACCACGACATTTATGTACTAAACATTTTCTTCCCTTTTTCTTTCGTTTTTTTTATGTGCATGTGTGCGTGTGTGCGTGTGTGTACTTAAATTAGTATTGTAAATAAGTTGTAAAATAGTTGAGTGGTTCTCTTTTAACACCTATATGTATACATATACACACAAATATCATACATACATATGTACATATATTTTTATGCGCAAATGTGCACTTACCTCATAAATATCAATGCCATGGTTGAGTGACCACGATGTCTGGAAGTAATCTTCAATCCTTTGTTTCAGTTCCTTAGGCATCTGCTTGGTGTTTGTCGAGTAGCAGTGTAATAAAAAAAAAAGCAGAAAAATATTTCCAATTGATGCAGGTGTTGGTTGTAAAGTCATGAAAGAGAATTAAATAAGAGAATTTGATTATAAATATTGTAATAAATTTTCATATAACAATTAGATAACACTACCTGAAGAAAATTAAAAAAGTATTTTACAATGTTTTTTTTTTTTGCATTTTTTCTGCATAAATAAATTAAAAATAATAATAAAAAGAAATTCGGAAGAAAAAGTTAAAAATTTATAATCAAAATTCTCGAAAAAGCTGGAATTGATCGAGTGTGCGAGTAATCGTTGCTCAAATACTTTGGCTGCTTGAAGTATTTGAACAACATTTTGAGCTTCACGAACGATTAACAGAAAGACAATATCTCACTTTATAAATCGTTTCAGTTATTCTCGGTAAACCTTGTTCTCAGATCTTTTATGTGCGATCTGCTCTTTTGAGCGCCATCGCCATAATTATACAGTTAAGGCTTGAGGGAGGTACTGCAAACCTATTTACTCAGTCAGTATTACAACTTTACTCTTTAAATTAGTTGATATTTTTTTGTAGCCGTGTGGTTAGCATTGTGTGCTGCCAGGCTCTGGTTCAAATCCTGGTATCGTATCAGAATTAATTTAAATTAATTATTAAGCTTAATTTTCTAATTACAGTCGCCGCTCTGCAAGAGATGTCTAGTCCCACGAGTGTATTTCTGACATGAAATGACATAAAAACCATCAGTCGTTCGGAGTGTAAATTGTAAGTCCCTCCATTTGTTGGAAAGACATAAAGGCGCAGACCACAAATAGTGAATGATCACTTGCGAATCCCTTCAAGCATACAACAAAACTTTCTTGGTCGTCAGTTCTGACTTCGAGTTCATTTTCCGGCTCAATAGACCATTCACTTGAGAAATCGGTCGATTTTGTTACGATTCAAAAGCAAGTCGGTACACAAGGGTTTTCCTCGTAAGCTCATATGACACTCAAACATCGAGATCTTGTGTAAATAGCTTTTTTAAAGTGCTTCCTGGCCAATCGAAAAAGTGATCCCGTTCATATTTAGACTCCACGATTTCCATCAATAAATCGAAGCGGCGCATCTTTTGCATCAAAAATACCGGAACAAAACCGCCAGGCTTTGTCATTCAGTCATAATCATAACTTTAGCTAACGGAATAACTGTTTATGTTTATCAGTGTTTGTATGTATCCTTCGCACATTAAAATCACTACACGTACCGCCTACGAATGCGCTGAAGATTATTGAGTACTGTTTTACCACATCCTTAACCTCAAACGCGTGACACACGTGCAATTGCCACTTGGCACATTTAACAATTTCAAAGTTGCGCTGCTTGATTGATATTACAATTCACGCATTTGTTTCAGCTAAAAACAACCAAACAGGAAATAAAAATATGAACAATATTTGCCTGTAGGCCGCCGAAGAGAGTGGCAAATATTAGGCGCCGCATTAGAAGAGGCAAATAACTGATGAGAAGAGCATACATTTATTCTCACTATGCGATGTCAGAACAAAATGTACAAAGTTGGAAATTCATTCTCCTTCCTGGCACACGTATACGCTTATACATATTGAACTCTTGGCGCTGCTTGTATTCGCATCCAACTCTCTAGTGCATGCCACTGCTGCTGCTTGTGACGACGAATTCTTCAGGTGTCGCTTCGAAATTTCCACATCATTGCTTCCTGTTGTAGTTGGCACGTCGATGTATGTGAGTTTGCTTTTTTAGCTGTGGAAAATGTTTTTTTTTGTTTTGGTTTTTGCTATTCGTTGTCTCGAGCTATGTTGCAATAAAAATAAATTGGTGATTGTAAGAACATGCTAGTGGCAGCGCTACAATGCAGTTGCTGACGAGGGCAGGGCATTCAATGTGGTTGATGATAATGACGATGCACTTCACACGCTTCGCAAGCAAGCAGCAGACAAGCAGGCAGCCAGTTAAGTGAGTTAGCATGCATATGGGTCACTGGCGTTGCACAGCCGATTTAAGCACATGAGAAAATATATCGATAACTATAGACGGCATTGAAGGCAGTTACGTACTGGCAGACATAGCTGTACACATACATACAGGTTATCTGCATGAAATTGCTCTTTCCATCGCCACACGTGTTGCATGAGCTTTATGTTTGCCCTTTATTGCTCGACTCGACTGGTTTTGCATCCTTGCAATGCCACGCAATTTAATTTTACTTCGCTTATCGGTAAACCATTACAAAAAATAAATGTAAACAAACAACAATAAGCAATAACACGAAAATGCTTGTAGCAGCAACAACAGTAATTTCTGGTATTTTCAGCATTTCTGTGCAAAAAAAAATTACAAAAATGTATGCGTTTGCGTGTGCATATTAGGTGTGAAAGGCTTTCCCTGTAGCATTAATTTACTCCGGGTGAGTCTAAAAATGCCGATAAATATTTGGAATATAATCAAAAATAAATTTGTTGCGCCAATCTGACTACTTCAGGTGGTACTGAGTAGTCCGCGAAACGTAATGACAATGTAAGCCGAGCTTTCGCTAAAAAGCTCAAATTGGCACTTCACTTTTTCGGTTTGTTTTAATTTTCCACTGTCTTTTGGTACCCTTCTTTGTTAACTTTCGTAAAGAAATTTGCAGAATAACCAACGCGGTAGGTTGGTTTCCTAAAAACTTTTATATAAACCTTTTACCAATTGGAAATTGTGTTTTGTTTACTTAATCCTTCTAGCAAATACCACGGCAGCTTTTATTTGATTTAATCCCTAAGGTTTCAGTACTGAAAGCTGAGTAAAAAGAGACGACAATCGATCAATTTTTAGAAGTACACAGAGGGGGATAGTTTTATGGGAGCCACTTGATAAAATTGAAAACAAATCATTACAACCGTAATATATGTAGGAGAACTTTCGTTCAAATACTTAAGATGCCCATAACCAAACTTTCGATACACATATGTATGCATATTGCATAAAGAGAATTCTATTAAACATATATTACTTCCAAATGAGTAAAGATAGTACTTTTGGAGTCATTACTGAAGTTCCAAGCTCTTTGTATGCTTACTCTAAACTTAAATACAGAGAAAACCCTATTTAAACAACTTGAAAAAGCTCTGACGAGTCAAGTATAGAGCAGTGACTTATCAACAGCTGAAACCAATTTATCGACTGCTTAAACGTCATCTCAAAATACAGTGCCAAGGGAGTGATTTTATAATTTCGTAGGTTAAGTTAGGTTAGGTAAGAGGGTTTCTCTGCAAGTTCGACAAAAGATAACCATTTCGAGTTCGTAAATTCATGAAAATTGCTTACTTAAGTAGTAAAGGCATAAGAAAGCACAAAAATTATTCCATTTACACTTCCAAACAATTACTGCCGCCTAAATTCCCATTGGACACTGCACAGAAAATGTTGATTTTGGTAAAGAAATGAGCTTTTCTGACTATCCACAGCCCATTTTATACCAAAAGGCCTTCGCAATAACGTACACTGAAGTGCGAGCATAACGCTGGCTGAGGAGTTTAAAAGCCCACATGTGCAGAAAAAGAACGTATGTTAACAGAAAAGCGCCCGTTCGGGGTTAGCAAGCAAATCATCATTAGAATTTCTTAGTAAGCCAGTGGTAATATGATTTTAGTTCTGATACAAGTCGACGCCACACTGCAATTACCCATCGAAGCCATGTGTCTACCGATTCCTTGATTGCAGCAACATCTGCCTGAAAAGCATTGTAATCATCAGGAAGCCAAACAAGCAGTCAACGCTTTCCCGACTCTCCGAAAGCATAAATAATTTGGTATATAATGGAACCCGCAGCTTAGGACTGAGAAGACAATTGAAAAGTAAAGTTCTCACTCGACAAACTCAAAGACCCAACACTACTTGTCGCTCATCGTTACCATCCTGCTGCATGATGCGGAGGCAAAGCCGACGATAATCTGAGGAATCGGCGTTAAAAATTTTTGAAAAGAAATGTTTTGCGTAATATTTATAGTCTTCTGTGCGTTAGGAATGACGAAAAGTGCAACCGATAGAATTTTGAGCTCTATGAGATATACGTTGACATTGAAATAGTTCACCGAATTAAGAGACAGCGACTACGCTAGCTTAGGGATCTGTACAGTGTAGAACAAAATTATCAGAAGAGAGTGGAACTTTATAATACCAGATAATCTCTAACTCATGGACGACAATCGTAATGCAGTAGAAACTGAACTTTGTTTAAAGAAATATCCAAAAAGCTTTTGAAACTCTTACACAGGACAATATACTACCAAATGTGATTAGGTTGTTTATGTAAGAAATAAAGATCAATAAAGTTCTGTTTTGAAAGTATCTAAGCTAGTTGTGACTAACTTGTTTTTTTTTTTGTTGATAATATTTAAATCTTTTATTACAAATAAATTAACGAACCCCCCTAATATCGGAATATACATATATCCCAGCTTCTCATATTCACACATCTGCAGCGAAGGCTTAAGTTGAACTGTTTTTAACAAGCCACTGTCAGCAACCGACATGGCAGTAAAAAGTACAACAAGAAAAACAACAACAAAGCGAACAACAGCAATAAACACCAATTCTCCTCGTGGAATAGAACAAAAGCAACAATAGCAAACGAAGCCCTCGAATACATGCATGTTCCACTGCTTGCAGCAAATTTTAATGGTTTGTAATTCTCAGAATTTTCGCAAAGCAAATTACTCTTCTTACCCCAAATAAAAAACAGATTCCCATACATAAGCATATACACAGTTGCAATATCATTTTGTTATGTTAGCTACGTTTAGTCTTAAATTCCAGTGGCACTTTCGCAAAATTTACGTCCAAACCATGGGACATACTTTCTAATGATTAAATTATTTTAAATAAGAGCAGTGGAATTTTATTTGCAAATTTTTACCGATAAATACTTAGAAAATCGTAGAAAATTTAGTAAAATATTACTGAAAATTTTAATGAGTGGAAAATATTGGTGGTAAATAGATAAAAATTGTTAAAGCGAATTTTGATTGAACTCCAAATTTTTATAAAATACAATATGCGACTGAACGGATTTCGACAGGTGTAAACAACTTCTGATATAATACGAAAAAAAGCTACCTATTATACATTTTATTTCATTTCCTATTTTTAAATTATGTAATTTTACTTTTGCTATTTTATCTTATTTTAATTTACTTCATTCCATTTTATTTTATTTTATTTTATTTTATTTTATTTTATTTTATTTTATTTTATTTTATTTTATTTTATTTTATTTTATTTTATTTTATTTTATTTTATTTTATTTTATTTTATTTTATTTTATTTTATTTTATTTTATTTTATTTTATTTTATTTTATTTTATTTTTATTTTTATTATTGTAGTTTGTTTCATTTTATTTTACGTTCTTTTATTTTATTTTATGTTATTTTATTTTATGTTATTCATTAAGTTATTTATTTTTTTCTTATTTATTTCAGTCGTTAAAAAACTTAAATTTTATTTGTCTACACATGTTGATGTTTGCGCATATTCAACACCTGTTCATACACGCAAATAAATTTCAAATAAAAATCATGCATTGTCACTCACCTGATGCAATGCTATAAAATCCTTTAAGTCCCGCCATTTGCTCTCGTACAACGAGCGACGTGAATACATGCGTTGAATTATCGCTGTCACATTACCGAACACGACGGCGTGCATTAATGCTGTCAGGCAGTGTTGGTTGGTGGGTAGTAGTTTATTAAACAAGGTGAAATGGAAAGAAATGAAGCAAAGTTAAAGTAATCCCAGTTAATTACTGTTTAAATTCATATGTAAATTTTTGGCCCTTAGCTAACGCTTCAGCGAAAAGCTAAAGTAGCGGTAAAAGCAAACAAGATCCGAACTAGGTTTTATGGAACTAGTTGAATAATGAGTGAGAAATGATTAAGAGATCACCATTAGAGAGAACAATAAAGTAATCACTGGGCTACATACAATAGATCTTATTACAGCACGCTACAGCATTTTTTCACCACAGCGCTACAGTACAGTACTACACCACTGAGGAGTTCTTTTATAGATTTTTTTGGCTTTTTTTGGAGTTCGATAACTCAACTACAATATTAAAAAAAAATAGTGTTTTACTAGTACAAAGCTGACGCATGGTTCGAAAAGAGATTGGTTCTTAACAAATTATGGTGCGCAAAATTATGGCATAAGAATAAGTGCTGGTATAAACATAAACTAGTACCAATCTACTTCAGAATTGGTAGCTTTCTCTGCATGGTGTTTTCACTTATTATATACACACTACTAATTAGTGCGTAAAGTATTCACAATGTGCTTTAAAGCTTCAATCAAAGTGTTTACATATCGACATGTACATATGTATGTAAATGCATTATGTGCTACATACTTAAACATATGTTTCTTATTATTCATTAACCTGCAATTCACGAACTCTTTCTTACCTCCAATTAGCATCATAATGATGGAGAATACTTTCTCGGCTGTTGTATTCGCCGACACATTGCCAAACCCCACCGATGTCAGGCTGGTGAAGGTAAAATAAAGCGCTGTTGAATATGCCTCGGCATTGGTGATATTTGTTATTGGTATTTTCAAGCGCTCAGAAAGGGCATGCATCCAACCTAAAAATGAATAAAAAAAAGTTATTGAATTTTTTAAATTAATAAAAATAATTTGTTTGTTTATTTGTTGAATTACTGCTCAATAACGGGTATTTCTTCAATGTTGATAACATAAACAGTCGGCGTAAATTGCATTAGCGATCATGTTAATATAATAACAGAGAATGTTAATATCAATGTTAAGCAGTAACACTCTGAGGTTGTGAAAAGGAAAGAGCTTAGTTGGTGTTGAAAATTTGAGAGTATAAAGATCTAATGCCATGAGCAAAATATGTATATTAATAAAAGTAGCCTTAAATAGAATTTTTAAATTAAATATGTTTTCTGGTATCAAGCAAAAACTATTGTGCGAAATTTGTATTCAGAAATACTCTTAAAAAAGAGAGCCTTTGGAACATACAATCGCATCTAGATTGTCAACAAATCGACAACAATTGTGCAATTAGGGCAGGGTAACGATTATTATCAATTTCTCAATTCTTCATTAAAATATAGCTACAAAAAGCGACTGAAGCAGAATACACAGTAAAACTCGCAGTCTGCTGGAAATTAAATTAATACATTTTAGATAAATTTCTAGATTACCAAATTTATTTCTAGCTAATGTGAGGTCCTTCGGTAACCAACCCGTGTGGAGCCATGGGTCACAACTAATGAGAGGGTAAGCCCAGCGAACGTTTGGTCCATAACAGATCTTTTGTGGTTTCATGATTTTTACGAAATTACTTCTAGATCTTAACAGTTTTATTTGCTTAGAGAAAAATATTAAACTCACAAGACATGCCATATAATTCTCGGAGCTAAGGCTAAATAAGCTACGTCATGCCTAGGCCACACTAAAACTTATCATTACTAAACATTCAACTGCACATTAACGGCAATATTTTTCAAGCAAACTGAAGGGATATTCCGGCAAAATAACATGAAATGTCAGCTTAAGCAAACTTCAAACAAGAATATTAATTTAACAAAAAAAAAACCCTGGTATATCCTTTATCCTTATTGACACTTACGTTTTATTACACACACTGCTTAATAAATCAAAATTGATACTTCAATAAATACACTTTGACTAATTGGATTGACCTATTGACCTTTCAAATGCTTCGATTGTCACTGTAATACGCACAAATGGAGCTGACGCACAGAAACTGCTGACCTGCGCTGAAACACATATATACATTGTAGCGAAGTGAAGACGACGAAGAAGGAAGAGAAGAAGAAGAAGAAAAGAAAACAACAGCAAAGCACATATGTTTTAACAAATGAATGATTAAGCGGAAAAGACAGATTCTATACAAGGCAAGGCAAGGCTAGTCAAGGCAAGAAGAGACAAGGCAAAGCAGGACGAAACAAATTTGCGACAACTAATCCAATAAAACGTAGAGACTGTTGTCAATGAGCAGCAAAAGCAAGAGCAAAGCAAAAAATAAGAATTGCAAATATCAACAATGTTGAATTTAAAAAAAAAATATATATATATATACACACACACATATCGACACACAAGCGTTAATTCGACGCATTTACCACACAACCATAGGTGAGGTGTAGATGCAGATGAATGAGAAGAAGAAGACGATGAATCAGAAGAAGCAGAAGAAGAAGAAGTAGAAGAAAAGAGCAAAACAGCATCGTCAGCGGATCATGGCAGAGCAACAGCTCAATGTCAGTAAACAAACAAGCGCTGCTCTGAGGTAAATGTCACATGGTGGAGCTTGAGCATGGATTATGTAGGTATGTACACACATATGTATATATGTAACACTATGTGCGTATTTAGATAGAAGCGCTTATGCATGTGCCCATACATATGTAAGCACTTCGAAGTTTGTTTATTTGTTTTGCTACACTCTTAACCAACAAAGCGGAACCACACTTGAGGGCATAAGGAAATTGCTTATAAGTTTTCATTTCCTCACAACAAGATAGAAAAATATGTTTTTGTTTTAGTTTCTACATATGTGCATATGCATATGCGTGTGTTTGAATATTTGCTCTTCAACTTCAAATTGATTGATTGAAAAAAATGTAGTTTTTTCAAAAAAAAAATGCATTTTTCTGCATTTTTTAAGTTTTCACGGTAATATTGCTCAATGTGAATACAAATGTCAGGATTAATATGAAAATATTAATTTGTTTATTATAAACATTTTTCGCATCCACATTTTGCCTTTAGTACTACCTTGTGGTTAGTGTAATAAAACGACTGAATTTCCTGTTTCCATCAAGAGGAAATTCGAGCATTAATTTTTTTCATTTTTCAAAAAATGCACTACCATTCGGAGATTCAGCTGTTCGCGGTTTTCGAGATCGAAATTTTCATATACTCGAATATATGGTATATAAAGTACCAGAAGGACGAGAGATAGACTCATCCACATTTATACCGAAGGGGGTCTAAGTGACGAGCTGAGTTGATTTAGCCATGCCCGTCTGTTCATCTGTGTATCTGCTTGTACGAAAACTAGTCCTTCTGCATATAGATGTATTTTAGTAGTAAAAATTACAGATTTTTTATAGATATAAACACTTCGGCAGGGCAAAAGAAGGCGCTTTCTTTCTTGTTTTTAATTGGGTTAGGCAGCGTTTAGGCAATTTTAGCCGCATCATTATTAACGGCGTAGCATTTTTTTGTTTGTAAATTCTAAAGTTAACTCAGGCCACTCTGCATTAGGAACTTCTAACGGAGTTTCTCTCTCTTTTTCCAGCTACAGGTGATGACGTTTGCATTGAAATCAAGGCAGAAGTTTGCCCACATAGCCAATTTGCTTAGATACTCTTTTCTGAACAGTACTGTAAAAGCTTTTAAGCATTTTCGGAATTGATTGATAAAACACATAAAAAAAAACAGAAAATAATATGAAATCGTCATTTGAGTCGATAGAACGACTTGCATATATTAAAGCTCAAGAGATTATTTCATATAAATACTGGTCGTTATGCCGAATTTAATTTTGACATACATAAAAAAGGTTAGCAATTGAAGAGCAAAACCTGGGCAATATGTGATTTCATCAAGATGGTGCCACATGCCACACAACACGAGCTAAAATGGCTTTATTACGGCGCCGGAGTACTTGGGGCTATACGAAAAACTGTATTTATGCGTACAGATATTTAACACTGCCCTCCGGCACCTACATATTTCGGAAACAAGAAAGTAAAGAAAGTTTAAAATTCTCGTCAAAAAATCCCAATAACCAAAATTAACCGTTAATTTTAGTTGAGAAGTTTCTTGAAAGCTCGTAATTATTTTGCAATTATCACCAAAAAAACTTTAAAATCCTTAATAATTTATTTATATTTCTGCTCAAACTTTTAATATTTTCAGTATTTTATACAAAGTTGATTGTTGTTGTTGCTGCTGCGGTTGCTAAGCAAATTGCGTTTGTCAATAAAGTTTTGACAACATTTACAACCACAAAAATCAATGTCAAATTAACCAACCAGGAAGTTCAGGCATACTACATAAACACAGTGTATATACAGTTTATATACAGCTCATAAAATATACTTACATACATACATACATACATACGTGTATCTGCTCCCCCAACGCAAGTCAATTAAAAGTCAATCACAAACTGTACGAATTGACTCAGCTTCTCTGACAAATTTCAAATTAGAAATAAACTTGAGTAACAAGCTTGCCAAACCACATTTCAGCCATATCTATGTATGTGTGTATGTATGTTCCTGTACTCTTGTGTATACGATTGCCTTACTTCACTAATTTTCCACCTCAAAAGTGATAAGCTGTTTAGTAACTAATTAAAATCAAATTGTTTACTCGTATTTCAACAAATACATTGACAACAGCAACAAAAACAACAAAATGAAACTTAAGATGTCTTAGCAAAGAGTACACACGAGGGGATTAACAAAAGTTCGGTGACTTTCAACTTTTATTTTTGTTAAATATAAAAACACTACATCCTTTGCAATCCCTTTATTAATCTTCCTTACAAATTTTAGAACGATCGGCCAAAAAGAAGACGAGAAAACGCAAGTTGGCTGAGGATAGGTCAGATGAATTTCCATCAAAAAAAAAAAAAGAAGTTCGCCATCTAATTCTCTTCGGGTTTCAGCGTAATTTGCAGCCAATGCGTATATTCAGTGAATGCCAAATCGTGAAAATTAAGTAATCACCTGGGATACAAGAAGAAATCTGCTAGATTGGTATCACAAATTTTAAATGAGGCTCAAAGAGAGACTCGAGTGCATTTTGCTCAACATTTGCTAAACAAATTCGAAAATGGTCGGTATAGCAAAATTTATTAGGTCGTATCGATGAAGAATCTGGTACGATCCAGAAACCAGACAGTAGTCCATGGTATGGAGTCCAACAGGAGCAACTCCACCCTAAAAATTTAAGAAAAAAAATTAGCAGCGAAAGTAATGATGTCAGCTTACTTCACGCGTCTAAAATCGTACTTGCTAGTCCACTGAAAAAAGGTCAGACGGTAACTGCAAAGTGGTACACGGCAGCGAGCTTAGCAAAAGTTTTCAAAAATTTTTTGGAGAACAGAAAAAGGAGGACTCGCGGCGCTACGTATTACATCATGACATTGCGCCATCCCACACTGATGAAATAACGAGTAATTTTATTGTGATTTCTGTGAACGAAGAAATACATGCAAGACCATATTCTGCGGACACAGCATCTTCTGGTCTGATTTCAGGTTATTTCTAAAAATATTTAAAAGCAGAGGTCTTTAATAGCAGCGAGATTATTATTAATGTAATTAATAAGTTCAGCATTACTAAGCATAAATAGCAAGATTTTGAAGACTGGTCTCGGAAGTGGATCTATAGGCTTAATAAATGAATTATAAGCAATGGCGTTTATGTAGAGAGGATAAAAAGGACAAGGATAACATTCAAATACATAGAAAATATTTTTTATTTCTGTTCAACTTATCGAACTTTTGTTAATCCCCTCGTATATGTATGGCCGAGTGTGCACAGTTGACCAACACACTAACCTATGTGCGTGTCATTTTTGGTTCTACTTTCCCACTTGTGGTCATGCCAAACAAAATTAATCTCATCACAACAACAACAAACCGCAAAGCTGCACAAGTTTTATAAGAAAACATTTCACCGATTACAGAAAACAAGCATTATTTGTTGTCAGCACATCTATAAGAGGAGTGGTGCGATAAAGAGCACCGGAAGAGACAGGGAACTTTTAATCATAAACCTGCTGCCCTCACGCTGATTGTGAAACATGAGATTTGCCATTTCGTCAACGCTGATGTTATCCTCATGAGTTTATATGCTGCTTGCTTGATTGGTGGGTAGCTGATGGTAAAAGTATGTGGTTTGCCGGCAATTTTCAGAGTCAAAATCAAAGGTTGCATAATTTGCCTGTTGGTGATGGTATACTCGATTTGATTGAAGCTTGAGATATTGGGAAACATGAAAAGAATTCCGTGCTGTCAAGTGGAGATGAGAATATTTGTGGACTTAAAATTATAATAATTAAAATCTTCAGCAACTACACTCATGGCGTAGGGCGCCTGAAATGGTAAGTTGTATTTTATTTCAATTTCATACTTCGGCTTTGTCTAAGTGGTTTGGAATTGGATCAAAAGTCCGCCAAAAAAGCATCTGAAAGCGAGAGCCGAAAATCATCGAAATCGAAACAAGTGTCTAAATTTTTATTATTTTTAACAGATTTTTACCCAAAAGATAACAGTTTCATGGGTTACAGATATACGGAAACTCCGAACAGAATTTTTAAATTTCTTTACGATAAACTGTTATGAATCTAGTAAAATGTAAACTGGTATAATACTATCCCATAAATACCAGTTCAACCCTTTTTTTGTATGACTTATTTCAGTAAAATCAGCCGAAAATATTATATAATAGGGAAAACAGTAAAGCTATAATGCTCTATAAGAGCTTAGAACAACTAAGCATCGTTAAAAATTTTTTTGCAAGTTAAGGACAAGAAGTGAATGTAACTGATAGTGAATAAAGGAAAGATGAAAAATCTCACGTCAACAAACAAAGGATCAGTCCAATCATGGCAGTGTTGAACACTGCTAGCCATAACTTTTGAGATGTAGTCAATTTCGTGCTCATAGGAAGCAGAAACAATATCAACAGCAACTTCAGCTTCCAGGTCTTTCGCAAACAAACCTTACATCAGACTCAGAAAAGTCCTTTCTCTTTGAGCAAAAATTAAACTTCACAATCGCTCATAATTCCCCACCTGCTTTACGGTACATAAGTGTGAACGATGAGATTAGTATGCACCCATCGCATTCGCTAGTTCAGCATGACGCATGGGCAATGTCTTTCTTCCCTAAAAAAAATCGTTGAAACACATTGCTTCAATAAGGCTTTTCGTTTGGACCAAAGCATCGTAGAAAAAAAACTATTTCGATCAGTATGTCACTTAAGAAGAAAGCGATAACTAATAAATAGAAAAACTTTCCGCACTCACATGATCTTCTACACATGGCCTCAACTCCCATACATATACGAAGCTAATTAAAAAAAAGGCAATTTTTTTATATAAAATCTGTTGAAGATTAATTATAAAACTTAAATTGTACAAAATTATATATAAACACCATAGCAAATTCAGACGGCATATTTCAGTTTACGATAGTGTAATCTCATTAAAATTAAATATGTGCTTCAAGCAATCCATGAAACCGGCATAAAACAAGAAAAAATTCAAAAACTCCCATATGAATGAACTTCATTTTGAGCATTTAACCCAGATTTTTAAAACATGCCATCAGGAAATAAACGGCAAACTTATATATATAAAATAATAGTACGGATTTCTAGAAGAAAAAAAAATCAGTAAATTCAACGAAATTACTCATATTACTATTTTACATAGTTTCATGTCTGCATGTCGCTGGAAAAAAGGCAAAATTATATTTCACCGAATATACATATATAAGTATATGTTTGTATGGGTCTGGTTTCAGCAATTGCACGTGCATATTTTAACCACACGCACACACACCAATAGATATACGCATATCTTTCAGAGTGTTTACACGCAAGAATATGATGTGGTATAGCAATATTCGCTGCATGGTCATACAGTGCGTATGAGTAATTTTCATGTGAAATCAAAGAGCATGAAATGCAACACACCTGCTTACACGTACTTGCGTAAATGCATATGTATGCGTGACGGTAACTCATAGTCACTCATACTTTATAAACATGTATGTAGGTATATACGCACGCATCTCATAATACATAATACTCACCTATATCCCAACCGCTATCATTCATCATATACTCCTTTTCGGCAATCACATACCAAATGCACGCCAACCAATGCGCCACCAACGAGAAGCACAACATCAACAATGTCAATATCATGGCGGTGTACTGTGAGTATCGATCCATTTTTTGCAGTAATCGTGCCAGGCGCAACAGGCGTGTCAATTTCACCAAATGAATGTGCGATTCCTGTGGGTAAGATGGGAAAAGAAAAGATATGTCAGAAAAAAGTTGGAAAACGAAAATTAAATTGAAATGAATTTGTAAGTAAAGTACTAGCACAAGAATGTGCCTGAAAGCCATCGCTGAAAAAGGCAGTAAAAAGTTAGTAAGTCAATGTTTTTCGGTTGAGAGGAAAATGAAACTGTTGCTAAGGTAGAAAACCACGGCAGTAAGAGAATTTTATTTCACGAAAATTTAATACTCATGAGTATATCGTTGCTTCTAAATTTTTATTTAAGCCAAATTTACATTTCTTACTATTGTATTTTCGATGTTGCTACCTAAGAGGCACTTAGAATTTAAAGTAAATATCCAGCAGCTGAAGTTGGCTCAATACAATAATTTAAGCAGCTTGAAATTTGTGCTAAAAAAAGACTCCCATATATTTCCAAGTTGATGTAAAGTTCTCAAGGAAAAGTGATTAATGACTCGAAGATCCCGGCCATACCATAAATTTAGATTTTACAATTGGTATTACAGATGAGGTGTTACGCAATGAAACCCGAGTTAAGGGAACGAACACTTTTCCAGACTGCCGAAAGTCACTGAAATGGAACAACAGCAGATGGCGAACCCGATTTTTCAAATTGATGACGATGAAAAAGAGGCATCATTACCCAAATACGAGAAAGTACAAATCAAAGCTGGTCACCTAAAAGACAACAGTGCAGCGGCAGCCGATGGGTTGCCTGTCGAGCTATACAAATAGAATGAAGTGACATGGTTCTGCCAATAAATTCATGGTTAGATTGAAATCTAAGTGGCTAACGGTAGGTAAGGCTTCAAGACTTTCCCGCTGTAAGACCTGCCCGTCATATGTCATGACAGTCGAATCTTTACACGGGAATGAGCCGAAAATTTATCTGACCAAGGACTGTCATTTCCCCAGCATTCCCCAAAAACTAACTTTTGGGCACAGTTTCGCTACTATAACAACAACAACGTTAATAGTCATAGTCTTTGTTAATTACTGAAAAATAGGTAAAATCCTCCTCCCCTATGTGGTGCGGACTCATGGCGGATGTCAACATTTAAAGAATCTACATTGAGCGTTTCTGATTGAAAAGAAAGAGAAATTGTAGGAGATGTTAGAAGTCAGCGGCGTTAGACCGGTTAGGTACAATGCAATGAATAGATATAAGCACCCCCTGGCAGAAGCATAAGAGAGAAGAAAACTTTCACTTCGTTTAAAGAATCAGCTTCAGTGCGATGTGGCTTACATCTTGTAGCTCTTTCTTGTCAAAAGACGAAAGAAAAAAAACCAATCGTATGTTTTTCGTTGATTCCACTACGAATACGTACGCACTGTACTTGAAAGAAGGATTCTCTAGATATGTGCACAAGTCATCGCGAATCATGTATTTCTTAATAAGTGTTTATAACAAAGAAAGTCTCAAGGCCGTGTTCCGAAAGCACAGCACCGAGAATTCAACTCCAACCAACTAAAGAGCGGCCTTTAGTAACGATTGCAAAAACTTAAGAGAAGCCAGTTATTGCCAATCTACTCCTGCCATACCGAATAAGTACGCAGTGAGGGTTAACGATGCATTCAAAAATATTTCCCTCCAATTTGACTTGCATACTCCGCAGCAGTATTATGTACTTGCATATCAGTGAGTCACCTTCAAGGGAAGATGAAATAATGTCAGCGTGAGATATTTGGTAATATTCATATTCACATATAATCATGGCCATAACGCATCTGAAAATCCTCTGAAAAGATCAGGCAAAGAGCTGTGAGAGCTTTGGACTCATTTAGTATCATCAATGCGTAAAAAATCGAACTAAATAGACGAAAGAAAAAAGGCATAACTTCAAAAAGCTTTCTTGCCATTATTAGGTCTTTCACACATCACCATCTTCCCATAAAAATAGCATTCTGCATACGCGAAATATATTGAGGAGTGTTGCGCTAATTATAGCTAAATCTGGTGGCAATATTATATAGATAGTCTTCATTGACCAACGGATGTCTCTCTATTTTGGTACGGCAAAGTTGCAGGAGAGTCCGAAAAGGAGTACGAGCTTACTTATCGCAATAAAATAAATTTCTTCAAAACATATATCCATGTATAACTGGGACGTGCATCTGAATGATTTTCAATTGAATGGAGAAAACTACTACAGCTCTGAACAACTGCAGAATGGTTTGAGAAATCTTTCAGGAATTCAATTTTCAATTAGAAAAATTTCACCTAAAGCTAAGCACACGAGAAAAACTCTATTCGTCTCACTTAGAGCTATATAAGAGTTTATTTTCTTTGCGCACCAAGTATAATCTCTGACCTTTTATTTAACTAATGTTCAAATAATTTTAAGCATCCCACTGCCGTAATAGCCACGAAATAAACGAAATAAATTTAAAAGAGAAAATGTCAACAACAACACGCCCAGCCAACACTCCATTTTAGAGTCCACCCACTCAATCAAGACAGTTTAGCTGCCTGATGAAAGTAGAGAAGTCAATTACTGCTGCCAAGAGGCACCCGCAGTCCCTCAGAAATAACGCCACAAACACACAAACACACTTACAAAAGAACGACTGCTAAGAAAATACATGCTGTGCTTATGCTATCATACGCAACAATAAATGGATTAAACCTGACGATTTTGTGTCGCTGTGTCGCCAACAGAGCTAAGAGACAGAGCATAAACTCTTAAGCGACTTGGTTGACACAAGCGCGTAAAGGAAAGAAAACATAAGAAGAAAAGAAAAAACATGGGACCAGACAAGACTAGAGTTTGGAATAAAAAGAAAATGAAGCAAACCAAGGAAAGTAGACGCTTGAATGACGTCAAAATGTTAAAGGTAGAGCTTTAAGTTTAAGAAGAGAATAGGGTGAAAAAAGAAGAAAATAAATTTAAACATAGAAAAATATAATTTTGTTTAATACAAATTTGTTTTCAAATTGTTGCACTGCTTGACAGTTAATTTCTTTTTATTTAAATTTATAAAAAATCGATACCATTTTTCATATTTTCTAAAAAATTATTATTTTTTATTTTATCAAACAGAGACTTAATCAGCAAGAAGGCATGTATATAAAACTATTCCATTTAACTGCACAGTCTAAGTTAAAAAATTATGAGCTTAGTTAGTGCGCAACACTCAAAATGTCATAAGAACAAAATTTATATAGCCTACTTTACGGCGTATAACCAGTGGAACAATACTGTCCAGTGCTATGAAGATATGCAGCTTTTGCTTTATAACTTCCCATTCTCTTGAGCGCTTAATGGGTACAAATTGTTAGTTGCTAAATAATGTGCGCAATCTCCAGCCGAGCAGACTAATTTATTATGCAAAAAGACATAAGTAGAAATTTATTTTCTCACTGTTTATGCTTGGTGTCTAATTAAGATTTGCCAGAGAGTTCAAGAACTACAAATAGTAAGTGATATTTGTTGTATGAAATATATATACACGGTGCATATAATACAAGTTACGTCAGATTTTTTGCTTGATCGCTTTAAAGCAGGTTGCCATCTGATTGAGAATTTTAATTTCAAAATAGGTCATATATTTATATGTACCGTGATAATAAAAACCTAGAGCTTCAAATATTTAAGCACACCTGAGCTTAAATATTTTGGACAGGGTTGCCACATGTTCAAAAAAAAATTTTTATAAAAATGATAACAATATAATATTTAATATAATATTTAAAATAATTGTGAGAAATAGTAAGCCACTTCAGTAAAATTTAATACAATAATGGCTGATTAAACTAAACAAATATCGAAAGTTATTGCCACATGTTTCAAAACAAAAAGTTAATAACCTCGATATAATTTCTTAAAAAATTTATACAATTAGTGCATAGAGCTAAAACTATTTCAATAGGCTTGAAGTTAAATTAATTATTGAAGAGTAGCCACCCTTTTTAAAACTTAGTTCAGTGAACTACATAATATTTTTATTTGCTGAAATTATCTCATCAAACTGAAGATATTTAAAAGACTAAAATGGAAAAAGATTGCCATCTGTTACCGAATTTGAATTCTATAAAAATTTTACAGCTTCCCAGCATATTACTATGCTAGTGAGTGTGTTTCCACTCGCTAAAGATTTTCAAGCAATCAAAAATTTTAAAATCTAGCTCCCAGATAATCTTGAACTACAGCAAGAGGAAAAATCACTTTTGACTGGCGAGCTGTTGATGAAATCGATATTCTTAAGTCTTTACAACCAGCAAAAATGTATATTTTTGAACTAGAACGACCTTCTCCGTCCTCCTATACAGTTTCATTCTGCCTTGAGGGGATGAACCTGCTAAGCTCATCTCATTCCTTTCACTGTTGTCTTTAACTATATATTTATTTTCACATTCATTTTACCAGCACTTTTCATAAAATTATTCCACTTCGTTGCTTTCCACATTTTCAACTACTTATTTACTACTCTTTTCAGTGAACACATTCGTTTGCCACGAGAAAGCAAAAAAGCAAACAAATTCCGACAACATGACTCATACTCAAGATAATAAAGTTCAACAATTAAAATGTTCTTAAATCGCATTTAATCACTGCTGATTATGCTGCTGATGCGTCAAAATGCGAAATAGCGAGTGGGAAAGCAACACGTAAGGAAAAAAGAAGACGAAGAATAAATTAAGGAAGAAAATTTTCGCTGAAAGACAGCAAATCTATGTTAACTCAATGCTCTTGCCACGGCAATGGAAGGAAGAATGAATGGTCTCATATCAACGTTGTTGCGCAGACACAAAGATGAAGAAATGTTTCAACTCTATTGCTTACATTGTGGCAATGAAGTTGCAAGACTTGTACAGGAAACGTGAGTGGTAGGTAAGAAATGTGTGTATTTCAGCGAAAAAACGTGAAAAGTTTTAGAAAACTTAAAGATACAAAGCAACAAAAAAGCATTATTACTACCCGACAATTGGGTTGCAAAACCTTGAGCTGCAAGTAAATAAGAATGCCTGAGCGTAGTACTGCTTAGCAACAGCTAATAAGAGTAAAGGTAGCAAAAAGGAAGCAAAGTGCTAAGCACGCAAACAATAAAAGTGAGCAGGAAATAAAAAGAAGCGAAGAACAGTTTTACCTAAAAAAAAAATCTTTATTAAACAAGATTACTTTGTTTTGTCTTATTTTAGTCTGTTTTATTTAACTTTATTTTTTTTTTTTATTTGAATTTATTTCCTTTTTTTTAATTAATTTTATTTATCAATTTTAATCTTTTTTTTTTGTTTTTCTTTTATTTTTTATTTTATTTTATTCTTTTTTTTATATAATTTAATTTTTATAAAATTTTATTTCACTTTATTTGAATAAATTTAATTTTTTACTATATTTTATTTTATTTTACTTTGTTTTCATTTTATTTTATTTTATATTTTTTTATTGTATTACAAATATTTTATTTTAATTTACTTTATTTGAATCAATTTTATTTATTAATTAATTTTATTTTATTTTATTATTTTTTTTTTAAATTATTTTATATTATTTTACTTCTTTTTTTTCTTTACATATTACTTAATTTTTTTTAATTTATTTTATTTTTATCTTTTTTTTAAATTATTTATTTTATAATTAATTTGAATTTTTTTAAATTTATTTAATTTTATTCTTTTTTCATATTATATTTTATTTTTTTTTTTTTTAATATTTTATTTTCATTTTTATTTTCTTTCATTTTATTTTATTATATTTGAATAATTTAATTTTTTACTTTATATCATTTTATATTAATTATTTTTATATTTCATTTTATTTTATTTTATTTTTATTTTACTTTATTTGAATGAATTATATTTTTTACTTTATTTTATTTTATTTATTTTTTTTTATATTTGATTTCATTTTATTTTTTTTTCTTTTATTTTATTTATTTTCTTTTTTATTTTATTTTTATTTCATTTCTTTTACTTTACTTTATTTGTTTTAATTTATATCTTTGTACTCATTTTTATTTTATTTGATTTTATTTTATTTATTTTATTTTAAGTTAGTTGATTTCATTTTAATTTTTTGTGTTTTTTATTTTAATTTCCTTTTTATATGTTTTATTTTATTTTATATTAAATGTTTATGTTTAATTTGCTAAATATTATTTTCTGATATGATTCAGGTTGCTCTTTGATTCCAACTCATTTTGTCTTGCCCCGCACTCACCTCGCCATTATACAAATCCGATGCATAGAGATGATCGAAAGGCAGCGCCGCCAACAAATCCACAACAAACCAGCCGCGCAAATAGTTAATTGCAATCAATTTCGAATCGGAGACAACTTCACCTTTACTCGAGACAAAAGTTGTACGAAAATTCAATAAAATGTCTGCAATGAAATAAAATCCAAATCAAAGAATGTGAAGATGTAATAAATATTTGCAAGTAATAAAATATGCACAAGTCTTCGCAGAATCACAGTCGTAAATAAGTCGGGTGCAAGTGTAAATAAAATAAATACAGACGGATGGAAAATCAATAAAAATAAATAATTTCGGTACAACAGTCTGCGGTCAGTAAATAATAAAATTTCATAGACTACAAAGTAACTCTGGGAGAAGATGAAATAAAATTTAGAGTTCAGTATAAATAAATATAGAATTAAAAGGCTAAGCTTAGTAGCTAAATTGTACAATAAATAACCTTAAGAGGGACCAACGGTGCGTATGAGCAACCAAAGTATTTATTTCTTCAAAAGTAAATGGGCTATTTGTGCAATGAGGTTACAACCAAACATACAAGCTTTGTGTTGATATTGTTCACCTCGTCAAGAATTCTTAAAAGCTCTACATCGGCTTCATCTTACTGTTGACGAAGGTTCTTTTTTGTTTTTTATATTTTTTTAACTTGTAGATGCTATTCATTTTGAAGAACTATTTTGTACACTATTTGAGTAGAATTTTAAAGTCATGCTCTTAAATTATAGTTCAGTGTAGCCTGTAGTTGAGATGGTGGGCTAAATAGAGTCCTACTTGGCGTATACGTAACTTTAAACTTTTGTACTTAAAATAGCTACTACTGCTTTCACTTATTCGCTTCAAGTTATAATAAAGCAATTACTAGGTATAATTGAAGAATATCGTAAGGAAGCTGATTGTAAAAAAAGCTTTATCAAATTTAAATCAAAGTTACGCTGGTTTAGCAAAAAAATTTTAATGCAAATTAAAAAAATTTGCTTCTCGTTTAATCGGTGCTAAGTATGAAGACTCCAAAAGGGCAAAACTCAATTGAAAAGCAGTTCCCATGTTATCGACATAAGACTTTTTTGTGCCATCTGGAAAACTAATATTGCCAAAGAAGATTGAAGGCGTAAATCTTTTTGTAATAAATATTTTTTGGATAACCAACAACTACTTGGCGTTTAAAAACACTAAATATCTTAACATAAATTTTCTCGATAAGTTGATAATAAAATATAAAGTGAACCTAAACTACTAACCAGCTAGTTTGAAAGTAATAATGCTTTAAATTCGATCAAATCAGTCAATAGTCATTTAGCGGTCCATACAAAAAAAAAACTTTAGAAAACTGCTTAAAACGGCACTTAACTCTATTCAATGATTTATATATATTTATCTCACATTTTGAATTTTATTGACCTCAAATACTCAAATAAAATAAAAGAAATTTTATACTATCCTTACTAACCCTTACACTCACCTGCTATAAACAACGCCTCGACAATAACATCCGATACCATCGTTTGTCGGTCCGCCTTCGCGAATGCCGCATTGTATGGCACCAAAACGGCCACGTAAAATGTTGATACCAATATAATCCAATCCCAAAAACCTTTGAAAACACCATAGTGCGGTAAAATGAAGCGTGACTTTTTTATTGATTGTGTTTTATATTCGGGAAAAGGCGCCTCTGTTGAATGCAATAAATTCTGCTTGACAAGGGAAAGAAAGACGAAAAAAGATTAAAAGATTTTACCCAATTGTATGAAAAAGAGTAGAAAGTACGAAAAATATAAAAATATACAAAAATATAAAAACAAATTAAAAAAACAGGCAAACATCAAATATATGTATTGTAAATGGTGGAAAAAACACTCAACTAATTGCATCAAAGACCGCGCAAGTGCTTCTCACCAGCCAGCAATTATACGGTTGCTTATGCATATATATGTGTGTGAAAGTGTATTTTTCCGGTAGGATTTGTACAGGAAAAAGGCTTATTTTCTCATTGTTCGTATTATTTGTACAACCGTGTACGCTTTTAAGCGGCACAAAAAGTGTTTATTTATTTCGTATTTATTTATCTTCTTTATTATTTTTTTATTGAATATAAAACACACATACCTATACAGAGCGCATATGTACACGTGTATGGCTATTGAGTGAATTTTAATTGATGCGATAAAGTGCATCTAACGTTCGTAAAATATAATTTTCATTGAAGGGAAATAATTTTATTTTTATAAACAAAATAGTTTAACTAAAAAATTACGAAAATAGGCATTTCTTGGTTGAGAAGATTATCTGATTAATATTTGCAGCTCACTTACATGTCTGTACCTAACAAAAGCTGGCAAAGGCAGCTTGTAATGGGGGCAGTCGCCACCGTTTGAGGAAAGCCTCCTCCACACATATACATACATATATATGCAAACATCAAATATATGTACATATATACATACAACAACTGCAAGTCTGCAATGCTAAGTTAACAACGGCACGTCAGTAGTGTTTTTGACAATTGAAGATGCCTCGGCAAGCCAGTTTTCTCCCCAACAATATTTTACAATTTAGTGTAAGTCGTTTTCTTCGCTTTTTTTTTTTTGTGCTGGGAGTACTAAACCGAGCACCAGGTGTATTCTCCACATCCCTTTGGACAGTATAACCAAATCAGCATACCCGCGATCTCTTGATTGATTGAGCTGCGCGAACATTTTCGTGCTTCTGGTACAGCTCACCGATTCATCATCTTTTCAGTAATAATTCATTTGAAAACGAGACCAAATGTGATGACTAATGAATCGAAGTTTTTACTAAGTAAAAAAGATCACATCAATGGTTAGGAAAAAAGATGCTTTTTTAGACTGTTGAATAGACCTTCAACAGTAAGAGACATACAGAGAGTTAGGGAGCCTAAACGATGGACACTGATAAGGCCCTAAAGTATCGAAATGTAACCAAATGTGTCACACGCAAATGCTCAAATGGTCAAGACTATAAGAACGGATTAGGGACAAAAACTTTTTCCCTCGAAAACTTATGAACTGAAACAGTGAAAAGACTGTAGGAAGAGGAAAGATTAGTCTTAAATATCTGAGGACTGACATATATGGGAAAAATATGGAACAATTTGCAAATTCAGCAGAGGAGGTCAGAATAAAAAAATTTAGTTTAAATATTTAATTTTTCAAGCTCAAAGAAGATAGTCTGATAAAATATTTCCAAGATGGCATGACAAATAACAAAAAAAAAAAAAAATAACAATAGAAACTTAAAATAACTTATTGTAAAACATATCACACACACACTACATATAACAAATATACAAACTTTTTAGCTACTTACATTTCCTAATTTCAATTTCGTCTTCACCTTCTCCGGCTTATAATGGCCGGATAGCTGATAGAGCACCGCACGACTACGTCGACGTCCCATATTACAGCCAGCAGGTACATCCAGATTATTGCCCTCCATGCCATCGCCATCCGCATCCCCAGCCGGCGGTCCACCCAAGCCGGGCAGTGCGCCCAGACCGAGCATGCCAGCATTGGAACCGGCACGAAAGCGTGCACCCAGCAAAGCAGCTGTAAGGGCAAAAACTTTGCAGCGTAAACGAAAAAATTGCGAAAAGAAGGGATGAAGCGACAAAGAGAAGACAAAATGGGGAGGATGAAGAAGATTTGTTTTTTTTATTTTTTTAATTTTTTTTTTTTTGTAAATCAGTTTTGCACAAACAAATGCAATGCGAAGGGAAAGCGTGGAAGATAAAAATAGTTCAAAAGTAAAAATAATAATTAGATAATGAGCCAAAAGAGAAAAGTGAGCAGGAGTTAAGTGCCAAAATGTACAGAAATGTGCAACAGTATTTTTTTTTTTTTTTGTTTTGAGCGCAAGAAAAGAGCATAAGAGAGAAAAAAGAGAAAGGTGAAACAAAAGACAAGATTATTAATGGTATTATTTTTCCTTTTTTTATAACAAATTTTTGTATATTTTTATTCACATATCTGAGTAAATAAGCGGAAGTGCTGGGCAAACAATTAAAAATTTAGTTAATAAAAAATAAATACAAAAATATTTGCTAATAAGCAATTGCGAAATAATTGCCAGCGCATGCCTTTTCCTTCTAATAGCGTAAATATCTTTAATTTATATATTTTTTTTTTTTTTAACTTTACATAATATTGCATGCATGTGGTTTTGTGCGTATATATGTGTAAGCAATATAAATGAAAATAATTTACTACTAAGCACCCATTTATAGAAATTTACTCAAGCCATAGCGCACTCATTAGTGGCTGGCAACTTTGTTACAAACAAACGGAAGTTTCTCATATATATGTAACCGTCTATTTATATTGGCAACTATTATACACACTTCGCCCGCAACTGACCGACAAAGCACAGTTGTAAACCAACTTTATTTTTTTTTTTTTTAACTTTTTATTTATTTATTTTTTTCACGCTGCAAAATGCAAAACTTGTTCAAGCGTTAAACTCAGCACAGTTGAGGGGTAAAACAAGAATAGCAGTAACGAAAAAAAATTTGCTTTTGCATTTGCATTACAGCAGTGAAACTTTTCTCATTTTATAAGTAAATATTAAAATTTCACAAAGTACTTTCTCACGCGCTGCACAAACATCCGTCTTCTTTGTCAGCGGCGCTTTGTTCAGGGCGGCGGACGTTTTCATAGCTCAGCGAATATTGAGCGCACTTCTATTTTACGCTTAAGACTCCTTTTATTCGGCAGCTTTGTATCAACTTCCTTCACCTTGCCTGCCAAGGGAAGTAACGTTTCTTCGTCTCACCAACCGTTACAATTAGTTTCATTAAAATTTTTACTACACACACATGTACATATATATATATATAGGGCACTCTAAAGAGTTGAAGTAGTAGCTGTGGCCTTCAGAGGAAAAAGCATAAACAAATATTGGATATTTTTTCAGTATTTAACTCGATTGCAAACATCGTACGGTTTAATACCCCGTCCTGCTGTAAGATGAGAATTCCAGTCTTGTTGAAGAATGTACTAAATATGTCAAAGAATATGCTTTCTGGCGGGCATCTTGAGTGTCCCTCGAGCAAAAGTAAAAAAAAGTAAGTCTCCATAACTAAGTATATATATATATATATATATATTATATACATATGTATGTATATGCCAGGCCGCTGGAGAAATAATGCTTTTTCGACAATTTCGGTGTATGCAGAGCTTGAGAAGCTGACTGACAGGAGTCCCCTACTACTATTACTATTGCAATTACTATTACTATTTCCAATAGTATTACAGCTACTGCTGCTACTACCAATACTACAACAACAACTTCAACTACAACCTTAACTAAAACTAACAACTAAAACTACAACTTAAACTACACTTATAGCTACCACTATAATTACAACTACTACTACAACTACAACTTCAACTACAACTACAACTACAACTACAACTACAAATACAACTACAACTACAACTACAACTACTACTACAACTACAACTACTACAACAACAACAACTGTAATAGCAACTGCAGCTACAACAACAACTACAAACACAACTATCAACTAAAACTACAACCAGCAACACCAACTACAACTACGACTACAACACCAAATACAACTACAACTACGACTACAACTTCAACAGCAACTTACAACTAAAACTACAACTGCAACGTCATCTAAAAATACAGCATCTACTACAACCGCAAATACAACTCACAACTATTAGTTCCAACAACAACAACAACAATCTAGTTTTCTCAATAGCAAGAATCTGTACAAAAAACAGTTTGGAATCTCTTTCAAAGGCTGAATGCACCAAGAAGCTCGATGTTTAGGAGCCCAATGAGTTAACGAGAAAAAACCTCGGTCTCGAGGCCAGGACTGACGGTCAGGTTGTTTTTTTTTCTCTTGTGTGTTTTCCCACTTCCCTATAGCCAAACTCTTAATTCGGACCTGTACTATCAGCAGTTGGATCGTCTGAAGGAACACTGTGATTAAGTACAATTCCCACGATTCTCCGACCTTTTAAAAGCTGAGGAAAACAAGGTGTTGGAAAGATTCAGAACAACTGAGTTCGTATCAAAAATTAATTGCCATTGTCTTACTTCTTCTTTCCTTTCTTAAACAAAGACTGGCATAAAAAGATTAATGCTGAAATGAACTGAGAAAACTTCGTATAATTAAAACGACCTTAAAATGAATCCCCCAAATATACATGTAAAAGCATGGAATTGCAGAAAAGAACACACAGCAATTAATAATAAATTTCACAAGCTTTTGTACGGCAGATAAACATTTATTATTGCATATCCGCCACAATTAATTATGATAACCAATTTGGACCAGCAATAAATTAAAATTTCGGCGCTTAATTGTTATAAATTTAGATGGCAACGTTGAAAAGATGATGAAAAAATATTTAAACAAAAACAAAAACTCAAAGAGCCGCAAACCCCTAAAAAGCCCAAAGCAACAAGAAACCGGACGCAGGCTTACGAAAAAGACCTTTGAAACAAATCTTTCATTAGCATGGCTCTTTTTTCTGTTCTTTTCTTATTTTTCTTCCCAGGTCAGGCATTGTGAAATCATATTTACGGTAATTTTCGAAACTCCTAAATAATTTGTTTATATGCAAATAAATTAGATTTTAAATCAAACAATTTTTGGTCTTAAAATTTCGGCTAGTTAACGGTATGAAAGCAAGAGGGCGACAAAAAAAAGGTGGAAGTTGAAAAACCTTTTGAGAAATTAAGATTTTTTCTTCCTTTCAGCGCGGCGTAGACAAGTGAGCGCGCTAATTTACATAAAAAGTACTTTTTAATCGAGTACAGCGCGCTTTTGTTTGTTTATATTTATATATATATATATACTCATAAAATATATATTGAAATATTTGTGTTTTTGTTTGTGATTAAGGTTTTAGCTTTGAAGCCGTCAAGTGTTGTTGTTGATAGGTATGTGTTTATAAATCAAATATGAAAGTTGAAAGCTGTACAAATATTTATGTTTGTACAGCTATAGCCTCGAGGTTTCATTGAGTACCAAAGGTATGCTAAAACAAACAGAAATAGTCGGTACTGAAATTCAAAAACTCTGAATTAAAATTGTTTGTATTTTAGGCGACTCAAAATTATTTAAATGGGACTTTAATAATAAATATGAATACATACATATGTAGGTATATAGGTATATAAGTGGCGCTTTGTAACCGTTAAAGCTATTTTTGGTCGCTTTTAATATTGGTTTGCCCAGAAAGGAACAGGCGATTTTTTAAAGATATTAAATACATTTTTTTTTAAATTTTTTTTTAATCTTTTTAATGACTTAAATCATATATTATGTAATTTCCATTTTGTTGGTTGAACTTTTGCCTTTATTCCGGCAACATTATTATTCCACGCTCACAGAATTTCTAGCATTTATCTGCAAAAAGCTGAACCAAATGTGATTTCATAGCCTTGTCTCTTTCGAAAGTTTTACCATTTAATGAACTCTGCAGAGATCGAAATATATGGTAGTCCGACGGTGCAAGATTAAGGCTTTATGGCCGATGCCTTAATAGCTCCTAGCCAAGCTTTCGCAGTTTTTGGCGTTTGACCAAAGATGTGTACGGTCTAGCATTGTCCTAGTGGTATATGACACCTATTCGATTGACCAATCCTGGTCGCTTCTCCTTGATGGACCATGATGGTTTTCGACTAACGCTGTTGTAAACAATAAATTTTTCATCTCCAGTTATGATTCGTTTTAAAAACGGATCGAATTCATTGCGTTTAAGGTGCATACCACAAGCGTTGATTCGGTGTGCTAAATGAATTTCTTTCAATACATGTGGTACCCAAATATCAAGCTTTTTCACCAGTCCAAGACATTTTATGTGATAATGAACGGTTGATTTTGGTATATTTAGCTTCTCTCCTATCTCACACTCAGTTACATGACGATCCAATTCGATTAATGCTTTGATTTGGTCATCATCAACTTCATTTGGCCGACCTGGCTCATCTTTAAGTGAAAAATCTCCAGAACGGAATTTGCGAAACCAATTTTGACACTGTCTTCCTTTTAATTCTTCATCACCATACACATCTCGTAACTTTTTAGCAACCTGCTCCGCGTTTTTTCCTTTACGGTAATAATAAAGTAAAATATGACGAAAATGCTCCTTTGTGGGCTCCATATTAAAATTGACGCCTAACAAACAAATGTAAACAAAATTTCGCGCACTTTTTTTCTAAAGCAAGCTAAAAGTAACAGCTGATAACTGACAGAAGAAAGAATCCAATTACAGTGTCACAAGCCGTTGAAAAAATTTGTCAACGCCGACTATATGAAAAATCCGCAATTACTTTTTGGGCAACCCAATAATAAATAAAAGTGTTTTAGTGAAAGAAAAAACAAGCTAACTATGTTTGAACAAAATCAGTAGATTTAGTCAGTAAACCTAAGAAAAACAAATTGGCTGGAATGACTGTTAATGATAAAAACAACGTCCCCTTAAAAATACTTTATATATGTATGTGCCTTGAACTCTTCGAATATCAGTAGAGCAATTAAATCTCAAAGATTGAACTCAAT